CAATATAATAGATTTGTTATTGTTTCTTCTTCCTCCTCTTCCTCTTCTTCCTCTTCTCCTTCTCTTTCTCCTTCTCCTCCTTCTCTCCTTCTTTCTCTTCTCCTTCTTTTTTCTTACTCTTCTCCTCCTTTTCCTTCTCCTTTTTCTTACTCTTCTCCTCCTTCTCCTCCTTCTTCTTCTTTTTCTTATTCTTCTCCTTCTCCTCCTTCTCCTTCTTCTTCCTCTTCTCCTCCTCCTTCTCCTTTTCCTTCTTCTTCTTCTTTTTCTTACTCTTCTCCTTTTCCTTCTCCTTCTTTTTCTTACTCTTCTCCTCCTCCTTCTCCTTTTCCTTCTTCTTCTTTTTCTTACTCTTCTCGTTTTCCTTCTCCTTTTTCTTACTCTTCTCCTTCTCCTCCTCCTTTTCCTTCTTCTTCTTTTTCTTACTCTTCTCCTTCTCCTCCTTCTCCTTTTCCTTCTTCTTTTTCTTACTCTTCTCCTTCTCCTCCTTCTCCTTCTCCTCCTTCTTCCTCTTCTTCTCCTCCTTCTCCTCCTTCTCCTTCTTCCTCTTCTCCTTCTCCTCCTTCTCCTTCTCCTTTTTCTTCCTCTTCTCCTCCTCCTTCTCCTTTTCCTTCTCCTTCTTCTTCCTCTTCTCCTCCTCCTTCTCCTCCTCCTTCTCCTTCTTCTTCTTCTCCTTCCTCTTCTTCTTCTCCTCCTTCTCCTTCTCCTTCTTCTGTCATTCAGTTGTTCAGTCATGTCCGATTCTGCATGACCCTGTGGACCATAGCACACCAGGCACTTCCAACCGGAGGGGCTCATCTTCCAGCGTCATATCTTTTAGTACTTTAATACTGTCCATTGGGTTTTCTTGGCAAAGATACTGGAGAGGTCTGTCCTTTCCTTCTCCAGTGGATCCCCTCTTATCAGAATTCTCCACCATGACCTGTCCGTGTTGGGTAACCTTGCACGGTGTAGCTCACACTTTCATTGAGCTACGTAAGCCTCCCCACCACCACAACAAGGCAGTGATCCAGGAGAGGATAATAGAACATTAGTAACTTTAATATGAACATATATTAATAAAGAGCAGCTAGGTAGCTCAGTTGATAAAGCATCTGGACTGGAGTCAGGAAGACCTGGGTTCAAATATGGCCTCAGATACTTACTACCTATGTGAGCCAGAGCAAGCCATTTAACTCTCTTTGTCCTCAGTTTCTTCAACTGTAAAATGAGCTGGAGAAGAAAATGCACCTCCAATATTTAGAAAACCCCAAATGAGGTCATGAAGAGTCGAACACAACTGAAAAAACAACAACATTAATATGGGGGGGGTGCTAGGCAATGGGGTTAAGTGACTTGTCCGGGGTCACATAGCTAGTAAGTGTCAAGTGTCTGAGGCCGGATTTGAACTCAGGTCCTCTTGACTCCAGAGCTGGTGCTCTACCCACTGCACCACCTAGCTGCCCCAACATGTGGTTCTTTAAATAAATATTTAGCCTGCAGGGATCCTTATGTAAAGTTTAGTGGTCCCCTTTCTATTTGAGTTTGAGAACACTGCACTGGATGATAAATAATGACTTCAGAGGGCTAAGGAGTCTGACTCTGGATAGAGAGGTAGTGGACTACAGGGGCGTAGCATGGCATATATCATCAGACCAGCAAAAGTGCCACCACTTTCTGTTTGTTTTGTTTAACTGGACTTTTTGTGTTACAAAGGAATCATGGTAAGGAATATAAAGCACCAGGATAAATGTGAGCCTCGAATATTATTGTCCATCATAACACTCAGAGCAGTTGGCAAGTGGCTATTTTTCAGTCATTTTTCAGTCACGTCTAACTCTTTATGGCCCATTTGGAGTTTTGTTGGCAGAGATACTGGAGTACATGGCCATTTCCTTCTCCACCTCCTTTTACAGATGAGGAAACTGAGGCAAACAGGGTGAAGTGACTTGCCCAGGGTCCCACAGCTAGGAAGTGTCTGAGACTAGATTTGAACCCAGGAGGATGAGTTTTGGTGATTCCCTGTCTGGCGTTCTATCTGCTGTGCTACCTAGCTACCCCTAATGGCAAGGCAGGATGTCAAATCCAGGGCTCCTAACCTCAATCCAGTGCTCATTCCTACCATCCTGTTTGTTGGCACTTTAGGGATATCAGAGAAGGTAAGCTCTTTGAGAGCCCTGGTTTTGGGTTAGACTGTGAACTGACCAGCCTAACACCAGCCCAAATCTCACTTAAGACACAGCAGCAGCAGCAAAAACAGCATTTATGGAGCATTTTAAGGTTTGCTAATTGCTTTACATGTTAGATTCTTTGACCTTCACAACAGCCCTGGGAGGTAGATGTTATTATGATGTCCACTTAACAGATGAAGAAACTGAGGCCAAGAGAATTTAAATAATTACAAAAAGAATAACTAGTATTTATAGTTATTATGGCTATAATGATAGTTCATTAAGTTTTACAAATCACTATATATATATATATATATATATATATATATACACACATACTTATGTGCACATGTATGCATATATATATGTGTATGTATTGTCTGTTTGTATTCTCTGTCTATGTGTCTATCTATGTGTCTTTATCTCTGTTTCCTCACATGTAAAACGCAGATAATAATATCTACCATCCAGAGTTATTGTGAAGATCAAAGATTTTACAAATATATATATATATATACGTGTATATTTATTAATTTATTAATAAATATAAAAATTAAAATTAAATTATATCTCTCCTTTTTATATTTCAAATTCATTTAAAACATATACTTTTAAAATAAATTATATATACATACATACATATATACATGTGTATATATATAAATATCTCCTTTGATCCTCACAACAAAACCTGGGTGGTAGGTGCTGTTATCTGAATTTCACATGTGAGGAGAGAGAGACAGAGAAAAACACAAAGACAGAAAGGGACATAAAGATAGAGACACAAACAGAAACAGAGACAATGACACAGCGGCACAGAGACACAGACACAGACTGAGAGACAGCGAAAAAGAGATAGACAGACAGGGACCTAGGTTTGGCTCAGGCTACTTTATCGAGGCCATACAGGACCTCACTCAAACCATGAGGGCTTGGCCTTGGCCAGCCCTAGGGTTTGTGTCTTTGTGCACAGCTGAGCCAAGGGACAAATTAGAAGGGCACTGCCAGTATTTTTCCATCCAAACTTCCTTTGGTATATGTAAGAACTCTCCTATGAAGTGTGATTTGGGCTGGGTCAGGGATGGGTTAGTATGCAGCACGCTCCCAAACCCCTTTGATATCAGTGGGGCCCACGGCACACCTTAAAATGCAGGGAACAAGCTTAGAACTAGCTTTGCTGCTTCAGAACTAGCTGAAAATGGAAAAGGGCCATTAGTTTCTATTGCAGCAATGAAAATCATGCTGGGTTCAGAATTGGAGGAGCTAGGTTCAAATGCTCATTCTGCTACTTACAGTGTGACCTTTGGCAAGTCACTGAACCCCTTTGGGACTCCGTTTATCTCAATGGGAAAGAAGTCGCACCGGGTGGCCACAAGCTCTGATCCATTATGGTTTATGAAGTGTTGTATCATTTAATAAATATTTCTAGTCTTAAGTCTCTTGTAACTATTAGTTCCTTGAAATTAGAACCCTAAGGGGGCAGCTAGGTGGTGCAGTGGATAGAGCACTGGCCCTGAAGTTAGGAGGACCTGAGTTCAAATCTGGCCTCAGACCAAACACTTGACACTTACTAGCTGTGTGACCCTGGGCAAGTCACTTAATCCTGATTGCCTAAAAAAAAATAAAATTTTCTTAAAAAGGGAATTAGAACCCTAACAATGACTAGCTGGTCCACCGGACTAAAACACCCTTCACTGTACAGATGAGGAAACTGAGGCCAAAAAAAGTTAAGTGACTTGTCCAAGGTCACACAGATATGTAGCAAAGCCAGGTTCTCTGACTCCAAATCCAGCACTCTTAATATCCCACCTCTCTGTCTCCCCCTACTCTATCTAGATCACCAAAAGAAACCCAAACCTCTGACCTATAGGATCTCCGGACCTCCCCAGAAATGCCCTCCCTGAGTAACAATGTAATGGAAGGAGTGTGAGAATAGCATCTCTATCTTTTGTGGAACCAGAGCAGAAGATGGAGTCTTACTGTTAGCTCTTGCCCCTTCAACATGAACCTCGTCAAATCGGGCCTCAGGAATGCCTACCCCAGCAGACACATTTGCCTGTTCCCTCCCTTCTGAAAAAGAAATGAATGGAACTGTTATCCCCCCTTCCTCCCAAGTTGGCAGAAACTCTGAGAGCTGAATTTCCGTCCCAGCTGTCATAATCAACTCATTTCAGGTGCCTAGATGCTGCTGCTCCCTTTAGATGGACCCTGCTCTGTTTTCTCCCAGGATTTTCTGTTCTGGGTTTCATCCCTAAGCGGCTTCCAAGTCTTCCCGGAAGAAGACAGGGCATAAATCTTAAACAAATTAACTAATCTTGCAGGGGGTGGAGGATGGAACAGTAGGGAACGACTTGGGAAGGGATTGGTGAGCTCTATAACCCTGATCCCTCGGTGCCTCATTCCTCGGCAACAAGATGAAGGTAAATACCAGCATGGCTAAAAGCAGTTGTTCTCCTGGAGAGACCTCGGGGACTGTAAGTAGACCCTAGAACCCTCTTCCCTCCAAACAGTGCTAATTAATGCTACCATGGGAACCTGAAATCTTTCTGTTTTAACCTCGCATTTCTGCAATGCTTTCCCAAATGCTTTCTATAATATTTCTAAAACACCTTCACATACATCAAACAATGTGCCTCACTTGATCCTCATACTGACTCCAAATCCTCACAATCCCATAAAAACTTAGGAGCAGACAGGTTTGATGACTTTCCCAAGGGTATAGCATTAAGGTTCTAGGACTCAGATCTTCTGATTCATAGGGTTCATCCTGAATCAGCAATTGGCTAGAAGTCATGGGCATGACAGGGCAAAGAAGGGCAAGAAAGGGTGGAGAGAGAGAGAGAAGAAGCTGGATTTGGTTCAGTTGATTTTTATTATGATGATGCCATAGGAGAACTCACTTAAAGGCAAAAGGGTTTGGCCTCCTCTGGCCCTGGAGTCTCTGCTTCTATTTGAAGGCCAGGAGGTCTCTGCCTCCCCAGAGTAAACTGGCCAGAGGACTCCCCCTCCTAAGGAGTCAGTCTCTGTCACTTAATCCCTTCTTTCCCATTGTGGGAAGTGATGAGCTTGTCACCCTCTGACAAGTCCTGGATTCCACACCCCCTCTTGTCTTTTCACATCCCAGATAGTGGGTGAAGCTGCCAGGATGGATGGAGTTGGGGGATGGAGACAAAGAATCACCCCATCTGCTTTGGCCAGGTCCTTGGAGAGTGGGAGGCCTTACGCTGATGTTTTGCCCTTATTCTTTGGCTTCCAAATCTTGGATAAACGGGACTTGGTCTTCTTCTTCTCTGCTCCATCCTTCTGGAGGTCTGCAGGGAAGAGAGGGGAAACATAGTTGAGTCCTTGGCCAGCCAGACCCTCACCTACCCAGAGCAGAAATACACAAAGTAGGCAGTCGTCTAAGTATGTGCCCATTTCAGAGGATGGGTCCAATGTGCTCATGTTACAGATGAGGAAGAAAGACTGAGGCTTAATGAAGGGACACCAGAGTCATACAGATAGGATGTGAACCCGAGTCCTCTGGCCCCAAATCTGGTATTCCTTGCCTCGAGTTTTCCAGCCTCTGAACCTCAGCTAACACCATTCTCTCTAACTCCTTCCTCATCTGTAAAATAGGGATAGTAATAACACCTACATCCCAAGATTTTTGTGAGGATGAAAGAAGACAATAATTGTAAAGCACTTAGTGGCATGTCTAGTACATGGCAAGTATAATATAAATGTCAGCTATTTTTTTTTTGGAGGCAATCAGGGTTAAGTGACTTGCCCAGGGTCACGCAGCAGTAAGTGGCTATTAATGATTAATTTTAAATTATCCAAATCCTTCAAAGCCCAGTTTTTGGGGGTTTTTTTGGTGAGGCAATTGGGGTTAAATGACTTGCCCAGAATCACACAGCTAGGAACTACCATGTGTCTGAAACCAGATTTGAACACAAGAAGAAGGGTCTTACTGACTCCAGGCCCAGCTCCCTATCTAACATGCCACCTAACTGCTCTTCTAATGAGATTAATTAGAAGGGCTTTATGACCCACGAAGAGTTTGCGAATTCGATACAGTAATAGATTTGGAAATAATAAATAGAGAAGCAACTCTTTTTGAAAGATATCCTAATTCAGACCAGGAATGTACAAATAGAAAAGATAACTTCTAAAATCTCCTGATAAGATCTTTATTGATGGAACCCTAAATTATTTTGTTATAATTACTAGTGTGCTGAATTCAATCTGGGGCTATAGAATAGAAAGAAGACTATGTAGTAGGGGTTTAATAAGTGCTTGTTGATTGGTGATTTGCTGATTAACTGAGTTGGTTTTCTCAGTGGTTGGAGGGCTGTATCAGCAAGGCTGAAGGCAATTTGGATGCAAATGTTGGCTGGTTAGCTTCCCTCTGCTTCTGGGCCCCCGCTCACCAGACCTAATCTAAGCAAATGGTCCATCAAGTAAACCAGGAAAGAGTGTGTAGCCACAATGGTGACCTAGGGCTGAACCAACATGGCAGATCAAGGGAAAGGCACAGCCAACACTCTACTATCTTTGATCTCCTTCATCCCCATTTTCTCTAACAGGTTGCTCTCACCAATCTCTCTCTCTCTCTCTCTCTCTCTCTCTCTCTCTCTCTCTCTCTCTCTCTCTCTCTCTCTCTCTCTCTCTCTCTCTCTCTCTCTTTCTCTCTCTCTCTTTCTCTTTTTCTCTCCCTCCCTCCCTCTCCCTATCTTCTGTCTCCTTTCCTGCTGCCTACCAACATGGCCAAGTCTTCCTCCATCCTTAAAAAACCCTCACTAGAGCCTACCATGACTATCGGCTATCATCCCATATCTCTTCCTGCAAATTCTCTTACAAAAAGTATCTACCCTAAAGTCCTCCACTTTCTCTTCTTACTCTCTTCTAAACTCTCTGATAGCTGACTTTCATCCTCATCATTCAACTGAAACTGCTTTCTCCAAAGTTATCAATGATCTCTTAAAATTGCCAGATCTAATAGCCTCTTCTCTAGCTTAACCCTTCTTCTGCATTCAACACTTGTTCTCTCTCTGCTCATGGATACTTTCTCCTCTCTGTTCTCTGTTGGTTGTCTCCTACATGTCTGATTGTTCCTTCTCAGTCTCTTTTGCTAGGTCTTCATCTGTGTCATGCCTACTAACCATGGGGGTCCCTCAAAGTTCTATCCTGAACCTTCTTCTCTTTTCTCTTCAGGCTCTCTTACTTGCTGATCTCATCAGCTTGGGTTCAATTATCATCTCCATGCAGATAATTCCTAGATCTATTTATCTGCCCCTAGTTTCCATCCTGACCTCTAGACCCACATCACCAACTGTCTATTGGTCATTTCAAATTGATCGTCCCATAGGAATGCACAAAACAGAACTCATTATCTTTCCTTCAAAACCTCCCCCCTTGTGAACTTCCTTACTACTGTCAAGAGGACCACCATCCCATAGGTCACCCTCATTCTCAACCTTGGTGTCATCTTCAACTCCTCTCTCTTCCTCACCCCACAAATCCAATCAGTTGCCAATTTCTTTCTTCTCAACATTCCTCACATACGTGCCTTTCTTACCACTCATATCAACACCATCCTGGGTCAGCTTCTCATTGATTCTTGCCTAGACTATGGCAATAGCCTTCTAATTGGGTCCCTCCGCCTCAACTCTCCACCTATTCCAATCTCTCCTCTACTCAACGGCCAGAGCAATTTTCCTAAAGTGCAGGGCTAACCATGTCACCCCCTGTTCAATAAGCTGTCCCAGCAATCTATTACCTGCAAAATCAATTATAAAGTACTTGGTTTCGTGTTTAAAGCTCTTCACAACCTGATCCTTTCCTACCTTTTGCATCATCTTCTATTTCACTCCCCTCTACACTCTCCACCATACAGCCATACTGGTCTTCTTGCTATTTCTCACATATGACATTCTACCTCCTTTCTCCAGATCTTTGCACTAGCTATTCTCCATGCCTAGAATGCTCTCTCCCAAATTCAGACTCTTGGAATTCTTGGCTTCCTTTAAGACTCAGCCCAAGTACTGCCTACTCCAGGCCATTCCTGCTGGTGACATCCCTTCTAAGGCTTCGTTCCATCTACTCAGTATTTGTCTCATATGCTGATTTATGTATGTAGTTTTCCTCATTTGAATGTAAGCTCACTTCCTTAAAAATTAGAATAGAGCAATTGGAAGACAGTGACTTTATGAGAAATCAAGACACTGTAAAACAAATCCAAAAGAATGAAAAATTAGAAAACAATGTGAAATATCTCATTGGAAAAACAACTGACCTAGAAAATAGATCCATGAGAGAGAATTTAAAAATTATTGGACTATCTGAAAGCCATGATCAAAAAAAGAGCCTAGATGTCATCTTTCAAGAAATTATCTAGGAAAACTGCCCTGATATAGTAGAACCAGAGGGCAAAATAGAAATTGAAAGAATCCACAGATCCCCTCCTGAAAGAGATCCCCAAAGGAAAACTCCTAGGAATATTGTAGCCAAATTCCAGAGTTCCCAGGTCAAGGAGAAAATATTACAAGCTGCCAGAAGGAAACAATTCAAGTACTGTGGAAACACAATCAGGATAACACAAGATTTAGCAGCTTCTACATTAAAGGACCGCAGGACATGGAATATAATATTCCAGAGGGCAAAGGAGATAGGATTACAACCAACAATCAGCTACTGAGGAAAACTGAGTATAATCCTTCAGGGGAAAAAATGGTCATTCAGTGAAATAGAGGACTTTCAAGCATTCCTGATGAAAAGACCAGAGATAAACAGAAAATCTGACTTTCAAACACAGGACTCCAGTGGAACATGAAAAGGTAAACAGGAAAGAGAAATCATAAGAGACTTATTAAGGTTGAACTGTTTACATTCCTGCATGGAAAGATAATATTTGTAACTCATAAGAACTTTGTCAGTATTAGGGTAGTTGAAGGGAAAAAAATTGTATGTATGTATAGATAGATAGATAGAGGGCACAGGGTGAGTTGAAGATTAAGGGGTCATATCTGGAGAATAAAATTAAGGGATGAGAGAGGATGATACTCGGAGAAGAAAGGGAGAGGTAGAATGGGGTAAATTATCTCACAAAAAAAAAACAGAAAAGAAAAGTCTCTCACAGTGGAGGGGAAACAGGGGAAGGTGAGAGGGAATGAGGAAATCTTATTCTCATAGGATTTGGCTTAAGGAGAGAATAACATACACATTCAATTGGGTATGGAAATCTGTCTTACCCTACAGGAAAATAGGGGGAGAAGGGGACAAGAGAGCAGGGGGTGATAGAGAGGAGGGCAGATTGGGAAAGATGGTAATCAGAAGCAAATACTTCTGAGGAGGGACAGGGTCAAAAGAAAGAATAGAATAAATGGGAGGGCAGGATAGGATTAAGGGAAATAGAGTTAGTTTTTCACAACATGTCTACTATGGAAGTGTTTTGCATAACTGCACATGTACAACCTATATTGAGTTGCTTGCCTTTTCAATGAGGGTGGGTGGGGAGGGAGGAAGGGAGAAAATTTGGAACTCAAAGTTTTAAAAATACATGTTTAAAAAAAATGTTTTCAAGTGCAACTGGGAAATAAGAAATACAGGAAATGGGGTACAGAAGTCTATCCTGATCTTCAGGAAAATAGAAGGGGAAGGGGATAAGAGAAGGGAGGGGGGAGAGATAGAAGAGAAGGCAGACCAGGGGAAGGGGTATTCAGAATGCATGCCATCTTGGGGTGGGGGGAGGGGTGAGAAATTTGGAACTCAATAAACTTGTGAAAGTGAATATTGAAAACTAAAAATAAATAAATTTATATTTAAAAAAATAAATAAATAAAATAAAATGGGGATTTTTTTTAAAAAAAAAGAATGTAAGCTCCTTGAGGGCAGGGGCTGGTTTTTGCTTTTTTCTTTGTATCTCTAGCATTTAGCACAAGGTAAGTGCTTGATAAATGCTTGTTGATTGAATGATTGATAAAAGATAATGGTCTTGGGCAAGGATATGGCATAAGACATTCCAGTTTCATCAACATTCCCGTGGTTCACCTTAACTTACCCAACCTGATGACTGCTTCAGACTTCATTTCTTCCCACCCCTTAATTTGAAGTGATATGCTTAGTGGACTTTAAAGTGACCTCTGATTCACTCCCTCAGATCAGAGTTTGGACCTCCCTACTAACCCCAATCTTTTCCCAAGATTCCCAAGAATCTGCCCTCAGGCCCTGATGACTGCCTTCCTTCATAAGGGCAGGTATAGCTTACCTAGTTTCTGGATCATGTCCTGAATCACCTGGTCCTCCTCTTGCTCCCTGAAAAGAGAATGGAATGAGTTTATAAGGGCAGGTAACAGTCAATAGACAGGTTCCTACAATATCCTTATGTCTGGATATGGCTCTGACACCCAGGTACCCTCTATAAGACCCCACCACAACCAGGGAGGTAACTAGTCATATGCCCTTGCCCAGCCCACTGGACATTTGAGGCAGGAAGATGCCAGCTCCAGCCTTGGCATCTGCAACTGCTAGGAGCAGCCCTGGGCTGGACGATTAGAATTCGTTAACTATACTTGTCAGTTTTAAAAAGATAAAAGGAAATTAAACCAAAACAAACAGGAAACACAGACATACACACACATAAAATCTCCTCCAACAATGCATTTACTGGCAGAAGAAACTAGCAACTCACAAATGACCCCCTTGGCCATTCTAAGAGAGGTCGGGGGCCAAGTGGTGCATTTTCCTCACAGTTAGCGCAAATCGGCTGATGTATTAGCTGACTATGTTTTTAAAGGAGTCTATGGAGAAATATTAAAACCAGAAGAAAAAAATTTCACCAAATTAACCTCTCACCCTAGATTCCCCCCTCCCCTTTCCCAGGAGACAAGGAACTAGAATCCAGCCAAAACAGGGCCTCCTATCTTACAAAGAGGCCTGGAGAGTCCTTCCTCATGGAGGAAGGGTGAGAGAGAGGGGGGATCTTGGGAAGAGGCTGAGAACAACAAAGAGTCTACCCAGAAGAATGATTTCCTGTCCACACTCTTCCCTGCCCCCCACTCCAGACTGGCCTGGCTACTTCAGACAAGTAGTTTTTCTCAATCCCTTTCCCATGGCCTGTCAATGGGTCTGGTTCTGTCAGTCTCCCAGTTACCAAGGCTAGAAGCCTGGAAGTCTATCAGTGTGGTTCCTCCCTCGCCCTCACAACCAATCAGTCGCAAAGTCCCATCCTTTTCTTCTTTTTCAGCATCTGTCCACTGTACCCTTCCCCCCCATTATTTGTAATTTGCTGCTGGCCCTCACTTCCCTGCACCTGAACTATTCTTGCAATAGCCTTCAGCCTGGCTTGTTGTTTTTATAGTCCATCTAGCACACTGCGATCAGATCATCTTCTCTACCTTCCTTTATGTCACTCACCTGCTCGAAAGCATACAAAAGCTCCCTATTACCCTTCAGTTCAATCTAGCACTGCCCATTTGTATTATCTGGTTTGGATATCTACAACTATAGATATATACATACACTGATATGGGCAAGCTTTAAAGATTGCTCATTCACCTGCCTGTCATAATGTGTTGTGAGGAAAACAAGGTTTAAACATCACTTCTTACACCTAGCTTTGTTACCATGGGCAAGTCAATTAACCTTTCTGAACCTCAGTTTCCTCATCTGTATAATGGAAACATTGAATGTAGTATTTGCTTCACAGGGGTTTTATAAGGATCAGACGAAATAATGTAGATAAAAGGGGGTGGCATGAAGTAGTGGAAAGACCACTGACAACTTCGAACAATACCTCTGACATTCAGAAAGACCTGGATTCAAATCCAGCCTCAGACACTTACCAGCCGTGAAGAGCCAGGACAAGTCACTTAACCTGTCTACCTCAGTTTCCCCAACTATAAAGTGGATTGTCCAAGGCTCCCTTTTTGTTCTCATCCCCCTCCCTTTATCTACCTCAGCCATCACATCCTCACCTGATCCGATCCTCATCCAGACAGTCCACGATGTCACTGCGATCATTCACCGTATTCACATACTGTTCCAGAAGCTCCTGCTCCCTTTTCTTCTCCTTTGGTGTCTTCAGTTCCTCTGTAGGTTTAAAACAACAATGGTCCAGCCTGCCCTGCCGATTCTGTTTCCCAGGGTGAGCAAGCTAGCCCTTATCAAGTGGCTAGTCCCTACTTCTCCTGCAGGTGGCAGCATCTCTTCTTCTGTCTGATGGTAGCATGGATGCCAAGTAATTGGGAGTCCATGACAAGACAGCTTTCCAAAGCCACAGAATCCTATAATCTTAAGAGTTGGAAAGGACCCCAAAGGCCATCTAATTCAACCTCTACTGCTGGCAAGATTAAGACCTCTTGAATCAGGAGCTGAAGGTATTTTAAATGCTTTCAGCTAAGTAACAGAGACCTCAGAATGGTATAGAGGACAGAGCACAGGATAAGTCAATAAGCCATGTGACTTCATTCCTCTGGCCTCAGTTTCCTCACCTATAAAATAAGGGGTTTGGGATATACTCTTCAAGGTTCCTTCTGGCTTTAAATCTTATGACTTAGCTGCTAAGGTGAGAAAACTCCAGAAACCATGAGCAGGAAGTAGCCTAGAGATGTACAAGTGATAGGATAGCTATCTTTAAGTATTTCCAGGATTACCATATGGAAAAGGGATCAGACTTATTCTGCTTCTCAAAAATAGAACTAGTAGCAATGGGTAGAGGTTGTTTAGAGATAGACTTGGGCTTGATAGAAGGAAGAACTTCCTAAAGGAATGTGCCTCACCTAGAGGTACTGGGTTCTCCTTCACTGGGGGTCTTCAGGCAGACCCTGGATAACCACTTATCAATGGGTAGTGGAGACTGGTCTCCTGTCCAGTTGAATGGGTAGTAGATGGCCTTTAGGGTCCTTTCTCACAGGGTGTGGGACCTACAGCCTTGAGGCCACATGTGGCCCTCTAGGTCCTCAAGTACGGCCCTTTGACTGAATCCAAACTTCACAGAACAAATCTTTGTTGTTCCAGTAATGATTCCAGCATTTCATAGTGGGCACAGATATTCTTCTGCCTTTCTCTACTTGGGGTAGGGGGAGGCTAAGAGGCCTGGTCACCTACTTACCTGACTTTTCCAACAAGCGGCGAAGTTCATCAGCGATATCAAGCTGCATCTCCTCTAGACGCTGCTCCTTGGCCCTGGGAAAATCCAGCACTGAGCTCAGAGTGACCTGGGCCTTCCCTTTCCCACCCGACTAAGAGTTAAAGTCACTGGGGGATGCTGTTCTCTCACTGTTAAAAAAAAAAAAAGTCTTCCCCAACATCAGCCCAGCTCTGCCTCTCTCTTTCAGACGGGGAGTCTGGGGTGGGGGAGGTTTCCTGCTCAATCTCCAACCCCAAGGGCACAGAGCAGCAAGCAGAAGGTTATGTGCCCTCCCCCCAGTTCACATCAGCCATGAGGTGGGGGTGGGGGGTAGGAGACTAAGGATTCAACTCACACTCACTTGTACATCAGCTCCGACTCCTGCCTCAATAGCAGCTGTTTCTCGTGAATGAGTTTGAACCATTCTACCATGAGGGCATCTTCAGAGTCATCTAGACAACAAGAAGGGAGCATAGGTAGTCTTAGACCAACATATTCTGGGGTACCCTGAATACCAAAGGCAGGACTCCACTGGGAACTAGGTGCACGTGAGGCACCAAATGTTTCCACTGTTCCCTGTCCACCTTTGCCTCAAATAGGGTGAACCTCAATGAAGACTGCTCTTCCATACACCTAACTAAAACCAGATACCTAAACCCCTGGGTTTTAGGGTCCCTGCCTTGGCATAGTCCACAGGTGATGCAGAATAGAGCGCTCAGTCAAAGCAGCTTCTTCTAACCCACCTTGTCTAGGGGTCCTCTAAAGCTTCTGAGCAGCAGAAGCCCCTCCCCATGCCCAGACCTTTCTTTCCCTCAAGGGAAAGAGCCAGGGTTGAGCACCACTGAGATGGAGATTGCCAGGACCTGAAGCAGGGGATGTTTCAAGGTCGAAGGCAAGGGTGGGGAGAGGGAACCAGGGAGATCAAGCAAGAGTGCCTCGAGTAGCAAACACTGGCCCCCCAAACTACTAAGAGTAAACCCAAATAGAGTTAGAACCCAAAGCCTGGGTCACAAGTCAAAACAAGGGTAACTCAAAGAAGGTATGGGTCAGAATACCAGGCCAGTGGTCAGCCTGATGTTGAAAAACTGGGCCTCCCTTCTCCCTGCTACTGGGCCAGTCGGCTTCCTGGCAGGTAGGAGTGGTTAGCAGATAGCTCCAGCCAAGGAAACATACCTGGGAGCAGCCCATCCCTGACCCCCACCAACCTGATTCCACTCTCTCCCCACCGGAACTTGGAGCCCTCCCGCTAACTTACCTCCCTCGGCTTCCCGAAGCTTTCTCTCCAGGTCTATGCCTTTCAGTTCTAATAAGTCCAGCTCTTTCTCAATGTCCTGAATCTTCTTCTGAATCTCTTCCTCTGACATATAGTCAGGGTGGAGCTAAGAGGCAGGAACAGAGAGGAGGAAGGTGATTACAGGCAGAGATGGCATAGTATAATTAGAGTTGGTGTCAGGAAGACCTTGGTTCAAATCCTGCTTCTGACACTTGCTAGCTGAATGAGCCAGGGTAAGTCACTTAATCTCTCTAAGCCTCAGTTTACTCATCTATAAAAGAAGGAAGTTGAACTTGGTAGCCTACAAAGTGCTTTCCAGTTCCAAATCTACAAGCCTATGATCATTGCCCCCTCCACCCCCAAAATAACCACTAATCTCCTGAATAATACAATGCAGAGGGGATTCAATTTAATTTATCACACCTCTTTAAGTATCTACTATGTGGCCTCCCCTCATTCTTAATGTGAAAAAAAATAATGCCAAGCCAGTCCTTTCCCTGCAATGATGGTTCCTTCCATTTGCCCTTCCATTTTGCCCTTCCTTCTCTCTCCCTGCCATCCATCCCCCCAAACCTCCAATTCTCTTGCTATTTCTCTTTTCAAACACACCTTGACTGGAGATTTCACCTCCTTCTTCGGTGAGATGGAGAAGCTTGGTGGATTGCAGGGTCTTTCTGAAAAGGAAACAAAACCCACCAAACCCTTCAATAAAATGAGACTTGGCCTCTATCACTCCATCTCCTGATGCTGGGTATTCCAATGACTGTCCCTCATGCCTGGAATTCTCTCCCTCCTTATCTATATCTCCCGCCTTCTCCAGCTTCCTTCAACTCCCAGCAAGAATCCTCCAAAACTCACAGGGTTCAAATAGCCCCCTTGTAGCCTGGGTCACATTCATTCCCCTCCCCCCTCCCCTTAACCACTGCAATCTCTAATGTTCTTTGTATTGGGTCTGAGCCCAACAGGACCACAAAGATACCCCACGGGAATGTCACAAGGTTTCCATGCCTACGAATATTAAATGACTCATGAAACTTTCCTGACTCCTTGGGTTATTTCCCTTGGGGAAAAACCAAAGGGATAAGGGGGAGAAGGAAAGAAAAGAATTAGGAAGATTGATGAGGGGAAATGGAAGGAGGAAGGGTGGTATCCATCTGAGGGGGCTTGGCCCCCCACTCTGGGCAGGGAAAGCCTCAAGCTGACCTGGCTTGTTGAGCCGACTGGGCTTCTCTGGAGGGATGGACTCTTCCCACTTCTGCTCAGGCTTCATCCAGTTGTCAGAAACATCCAGGTTGGGGGGTATCAAGAGTTTCTTCCGACCTGTTGGTAAAGCATTTGGAGCTACATAGGGAAGGAAGGAAGAGAAAGACAGGGAGTGATGAGAGCCAGGTGGATTTGCAGTCCTGTTTAGGGCCATATTAACCTCAGCCCCGATTTCCAAAACAAATCTTAATCCACAGGATTAAGTGCACACCGGAATTCATCTTCATTCTTCAACCACATACATTTTTTTTAAACCTTATTCTCTTAGTTCTAACTCCCAACCCACCGCAAACCTAAATCACAGACCTCTAGGAGTAGAGTTGAAAAGAACTCTGAACCCCAAGACTTAGGGTTTGTTGAACTGAATAGAATTTTTTTCAGTAGTGGGGATGGGTTTGTATTTTACCATCCATACTCTCACCTAGTCTCCACACCCCTAAGTTAAGCAGCAGACATCATGAGAACTTTGCTGTGAAAACCAGTCATGAGAACAGAGTTTGGATCTCGGTTCTGACACTGACAACCTGTGTGAACATGGTCAAGTCCCTTAATCTTTCTAGTCTTCATTTTCTTCATCTGCAAAATAAAAAAAGTCAAACTAGATGGTCTCCAAGGTTCCTCCCACATCTAGATTCAATGATCCAATTACCCTAGAAATAGAAACACTCAGGAAGATTAAACTGGGCCCAAAACAACTGAGCCAGGGCTCAAAGCTGGGAAGCAGAGAGGCTGGTGAGGAGGAAGGCATGGTAAAATAAATGAATGAATGAAATAAGCAAATAAATAAATGGGTGTACAAATAAATAATTAAATAAACAAATGAATGATTGAATCGATAAATAAGTGAATAAATGCCAGATAGATAAATAACAGCAGCTCAGATCTCAAATCACTTGATAGTTTAAAAATCACTTTCACAACAACTCTTATTATTTCTTTTTTACAGAAAAGGACACTAAGCTAAGTTCAAATCCAGCCTTATATCAAACGCTTGACACTTACTAGCTGTGTGACCCTGGGCAAGTCATTTAACCCCAATTGCCTAAAATAAATAAATAAATAAAATAAATTTTTAAAAATAGAAAAAAAGAAAAGGACATTAAGACTCAATGTTAGAGCTGGAATGGACCCCCTCATTTTACAGATGAGGAAAATGAGGCTCAGAGACTTGCCCAAGGTCACAAAGCTGGTAAGTGGTAGAACTGGGATGTGATCCTACTTCTTGATTCCAATAATAATGACAATAATACCTAACATTTATATAGCACTTACTATGTGCCAGGAACTAGGCTAAGTGCTTCATAATTATTATCTCATTTGATCCTCACAATAACCCTGGGAGGTAGATGCTATTATTATCCCTATTTTACAAATGAGGAAATGGAGGAAAACAGAGCTTAAATGACTTGCCCAAGGTCTCACAACTCATACCTGTGGCTGAATTTGAACACAGGTCTTCCTGCCTCCAAGCCTGGTGTTTTATCCACTGGGACTCAAGTTCCAACACTCTATCCCCAATGACACATTACCTCTAACATAAAATGACTTGCCTGATTACACAACTATGTTGGAGCTGTCGCTCAAATTCAGGCAGTTTACTCCAAGGTAAGCACTCTTTCCACTATACCATGCTGCCTCTCATCTCAGGGAACAAAGAATGTTCTCATATTTGAGAAGCAGAGCTAGGAGAAAGGAAGACTGCCATAAAATCCGTGGCAGCTCCCCAAAGTCAACCTCTTTGTTCAGTCATTTCAGTTGTGTCTGACTCTTCCTGACCCCATTTGGGATTTTCTGGGCAAAGAAACTGGAATAGTTTGCCATTTCCTTCTTCCAGCTCATTTTACAAATGAGGAAACTAAGGCAGGTAGGGTTAAGTGACTTTCCCAGGGTCACACAGCTAGCAAGTGTCTGAGGCCAGATTTGAACTCAGGAAGATGAGTCTTTCTGCCTCTAGGTTCAGAGCTCTATTCACTGCACCACCTAGCTGCCTAGAAGAAAGGAAGACTGCCATAAAACCTGTGACAGCTCCCAAAAGTCACCCTCTACCACCCCAAATACTAAGGCTCATATTCTCCCGGAAGGTCAATATCTACATGTTTCTCCCATGCCTTAATTTAGGATCATCCTATATGGAGATTTTTCACAAGTCATCAAAGTTAGACCTGAAAGCCCAGCCTAAAGAAGTCAGTGAGATCCTTAAAAAGAAAACTAAATCAGGGGGAAAGGCCATGAGGAAAGACACAAAGCAGAAATATCAGTCCCAGCCAGAAGCCTCCCACACTTCTCTGCATGGCTTCATTAAGGAAGGCTTCAAATGAAAAGCATACCACACACAGAAATACACGTGCACACACATAAGAACACACGCAGAAACACAACACATAAGAATTTAGGCATTGCAAAACATGCACACATAAAGGAGCACACAGTACATAAAGATACACACACACAAACATATATACATTGAAACATACACACATGTAAGGATGCAAAGACAGAAATGAATGATTGAATTGAAAAAGCATAGAAAAATACATGTGGAGGGTTGGAACTCCTTTTTTTTTAATTAGCTGCTCAAATAGTTTCATTCCAGCATTATATATAATTTAAAAAAAAAACAAAAGAAGACAAAATTAGAAACAATCTAAATGTCTAGAAAGAGGGGAAAGGTCCAATAAATTATGGTATGTTAATATAATGGAATACTGTGATACAATTAAGATGAGGAAGTATGAGAAATCAGAGAATTGGGGAAAGACAACAATGAAATAATACAAAGTGGAAAAAAGTAAAACCAAAAGAATGGAGTTTATAATAACTACGATTGCAGAATAAAAGGTACAGAGGAAAAGGGGCTAACTTCGATGTCAGAGGACTCGGGTTCACAGCGTCTACTTACTACCTATTTGACCGAGGGAAAATCACTTTACATTCCCTGGCCTTCGTTTCCCAATTTGTAAAATGAGGGGGTTGGACCACAAATAGCCTCGGAGGCCTCTTGCAGCCCTAAGTCTATGCTCTCATGAAAAATGAATGAGAATGAATGGACAAAGAATCTTGATGGATACTTACAGGAAGGAACTAGTAAAGTCTTACGATACATGAGGCATCTAAAACAATTCAAATTTAAATAGTTATTAAGCAAGTTTACTGGCTCATAGACCCATGTCCTAAAAGTCTTAATGTTGGCTGCAAATTATTAAAACTGCACTAAGATTTTTGGGACACCCTGTATAAACTGAGGCAGCTAAGTGGCCCAGTGGGGCCTAGAGTCAGGAAGACTGATCTTCCTGAGTTCGAATCAGGCCTCAGACACTTACTAGTTATGTGACCCTGGGCAAGTCACTTAACCCTGTTTGCCTCAGTTTTCTCATCTGTAAAATGAGCTGGAGAAGGAAATGGCAAACCACTTCACTATCTTTGTCAAGAAAACCCCAAATGGGGTGACAAAGAGTTGAACACAACTGAAAACAACTGAACAACAAGAAGTATAAACAAAGAAACTTGCTTAATAATTTTTTACATTTAAACTAATTAATTTAAGCTTTAAAGGCTTAAAACTTCACTAAGACTTTTAGGATGCTTGGATTGTTGCTTAATGTTAAGGTTTCTAATAAATTATTTAATTTTTTAAAGTAGTCATTGCTGAATGTTAATTCTTATTCCACTATTTTCATGAAAATATTTATGTTATTTATTCAAATTCTAAAAACTACATGTGGAAAGACTCCATGTCTCCAACACACACACGACACACAAAAGAAATCTCACTCACATATAGCAATGAAAACATATTCACCAACATTAGAGGACAGAAAAAATATTCTAATGAGGGAGCATACACCCATTTATTACAAATGAAAACAGCTCTTGTTCCTTCTAGAAAATGCCTTTTCCCTTTAGTCACACCTGAGTTTTTCAAAATTAAGAAATAACCTAAGACTCCAGTAACGTAAGCTGCCCTCCACAAGCCAGGGCCTGCCCCAGCTCTCAGGGCTTCCCCGACTTTCCCCACGCCAGGCAGAAGAGCACACAAGCCCAGAGAAAATGCAACTTAAGGAAAGGCCTGTGTCAAACAGCCCTGTAAGGGAATGCCTGAGGCCAGAGACTTTTCGCTAAGCCAGGACATTTCAAGTTCTGTTTAATCATGAGTGGTCCTTGATCATACCCACTTGCCATGAGTTGTTACAGAAATAAGACACTTAACAAATCCTTGTTGAGCTATACAACCTAGAGTTTTTACAGTACAGGGAATGGGTTTGCCCTGAGCCATCCACACCTTCTCACCCAGTCCCCCCCAAGGATAGATGACACAGCTTTGTGAGATACTCGGTTAGGGTTAAGGTTCTAAGTCCATGCAACCAGTATGACCTTGGACATGTCACTTAACTCTCTGGACCTGTTTCCTCATCTGTGAAATCTGTGAAATTGAAGAACATGGTCCCTAAGGCCCCTTTCAGCACTAAATCTATATAATTCTATGATCTTTATAACCAATTCCTTAATGATTAAAAATACCTTTCCTTCTCTAGTCCTTTCCCTACCAAACTACCTTGTATTTAAATAATAATAATTAACGGTTACATAGCACCTACTACATGTCAGGAACTATGCTAAGTGCTTTACAATTATCACCTCATTTGATCCTCACAACAACCCTGGGAGATAGGTGTTATTATTATCCCCATTTTAAAGATGAGGAAAATGAGGCAAACAAGGTTAAGTGACTTGCCCAGGATCACACAGTTAGTAAATGTCTGAGACCAGATTTGAATTCAGGCCTGACTCCAGGCCATCGCTCTATCCACTATACCACCCAGCCACCTAGCTAGAAGGGTTTTGTAGGCTAGGCAATGGGGATGCTGAGCAAGGCAGTGAATATGCCTTTAGCAGGACAGGGATCATTGGCAGGGTCAACAGTAAGTAATGGCCTAAACTACCGGAGGAGAGGGCAAAAGAAATAGCATCCTTCTACACTCCCCTCCAGAAGATGCTGTAGCCCGGACCCCAGCAATGACAGACTAAATGATAATACCTGTGACCACCAAAGCCTGTCCTGGCTCCAGCCACGGCCAGGAGGAAGATGGTACTTGTTGAGACGATGCCCACAACCATTTGTTCCCCCTCTAATTCCAGGGAAAACTCTTAGGATACTTACTTGTGGGGCCAGGGAGTGGGCCCTGGCTATTACTGGAAAAGCTGCTGGCTGAAGCAGGGGTTTTGTCCTTCAGGACCGGGCTCAGGGTAATCCGTATACCTCCTAAGGAATTTTCCAAAGGCTTCTTGGGAATGGCCAGCCCCTTGGTCTCTATTAAAGCTACTTTCTGCTTTAGTTCTGGAACCCTGGTAGGATGAGATGAGATGAGTGTAGGAAAGAACAGATATATGTTCCCCCACCTTCTCCTATGATTCTCATTCTCTCTCTGTCTCTCTGTCCATCTGTCTATCTGTCTCTCTCTCTCTCTCATACATGCATACACACACACACACACACACACATACACACATACACACACACACAGCCCTGACCCTCCCACCTACCTAGGAATACACCTCACTTTTCAATAGACCCATTCTCAAACCACTGTGTGCAAATTAAAATTTTCTAATTTGATCATGTTGCAAATGCTCCACAAACCTGCTGCTTAAAGTATGGGAGACGAATCCTGAGTAAAACGGAGAATTGTTTTTTAACATGAATAAATGTTCCCTGATGTATTTGCTTTGTAAGTCTGGAATTTTGAATTAAGGTACTAGGTATTCCTAAAGTGGAGCTGTTCTGAAGCACCTTGGTCCAATTATTACTATTAATAATAATAATAATATTTATATGGCATTTTGAGTATTTACAAAGCTCAAGTACCTTTACAAACCATGTAACATATATTACATATATGTATATAATGTGTATACATATACATGTGCATACACATACATATACTATGTATATATACACACATACATATTTTTTCACCTGTTTTATCCATACTACAATCCTAGGAGGTAGGTGCTATTATCATCCCATTTTACAGGGGGACACTGAGGCTGAAAGTGAAAGGTTAATAAGTTTCTGAGTCTTCCTGACTCCAAATCCCCACACTCCATCTATGTTGCCACCCAGATGCCAAGTTGGCTCCCCACCCCCTATTGGATCTGCTCTTTACTCAAAAGAAAAGAACTTTGTTCTGTATCCTAGAGTTGTGTTTTCCCCCTCTACTCATTTTTTTTTTTAGGCAATTGGGGTTAAGTGACTTGCCCAGGGTCACACAGCTAGTGAGTGTCAAGTATTTGGTCTGAGGTCAGATTTGAACTCAGGTCCTCCTGACTTCAGGGCTGGTACTCTATCCACTACACCAAATAGCTGCCCCTCTACTCGTTCTCTTTTTTCCTTCCATTCCTTACACACACACACACACACACACACACACATACACCTCCATAAGGCTTTGAGCATTTGTAAAGCTCAAATACTTCTGCAAACCATGTAACATCTATTACATACACACACACACACACACACACCCCTCCATAAGGCTTTGAGCATTTGTGAAGCTCAAGTACTTTTACAAACCATGTAACGTCTATTACATATACACACACATAAAACACACACACACACAGATATATACACTCATTTTTAGCCCATTTTATCCATACTACAAACTCAGACTGGGCCTACTGATCCTGTCCTGCAGGCCTCTCCCTAGCAAAAACATATGCCCTATAGACCCCAGCTCAGACATGCACACACAAGTATACAAAGAGTATGGGTAGGTAGGTATACACACATACACAGGTAAACACAAGTGTGCATACAGATAAACATACGTGTATACACAAGTATATAGATTGATACACAGTTAACCTCCAGATGTGCATAGAGCTGGGTGTATCTTGCATGCAGTAGGCACTGAATGAATTGTGTGTGCTTGTGTATTGGGCATATCAGGTCACGTGTTATATATGTGTCTACTTGTACATACGTGCATGCCAATATGTGCCTTGTGTTGGACCAGTAAATCAATATGCATGTATATAACTGCGTACACTAACTTTGCACAGATGGAATTACAGACATGTACATACATACATGCATGGACATGTATCCATACACAAATAAACATACTAATAAGTAGACTCCCGTGCACTCATATACAGGTAAACATGGGTCACACACATACATGCGCTGACATTCATACGTACAAAGGTACACATGTCCCCTATGTACAGGTGTGAGCAGAGCTCACTTGGTCATATAGTTTGGAGTTTCTGCTCCTGGCACTGCCCTGAGTTACTCACTTGTCCACTGAAGATATTTTCTCCACGGGCTTTAGTTTAGATCGCCAACCTGCAGGACCGTCCTGGTTTTCAACAGAGCTGGGACCCTTATCTAGGAGCAAGAACATCGAATGAAAACATTTGGAAGGGCTGAGTACTTGGGGCCCCTCCCCTGAGTCTCTACTATAGAAAGGGATCTTCATTCAGGACTTAGAACCCCAGGGGAGCAGCTCATGACCAGTCCAGCTCCACTTTACAGAATTCAAGATGGCCACAGTTGCCATCCTGGGCCTGTTTCCTTCTCTGTAAACTGAGAAGCTGCACTAGCTGCTCTAGAAGGCCCCTCACATCTCTAACATCCTGTGATTCTCTAGAACTGTCTTGCTCTCCCTGGGAAAGAAAATAGTATTAATAGTTAACATGTATACAGCACCGAATATGTGCCAGATCATCTGATCCTCACAATAACCCTAGGAGATGGCGTTATTCTGTTCCCCATTTTACAGATAAGGAAAATGAGCCAAACACAGGTTAAGTGACTTGCCCAGGGTCACAGGGCTAATCAGGCCAGATTTGAACTCAGGTCTTCCTGAGGTCCAGCACTTCAACCACTGCATCAAATCCAAAGATGCTGTGTACCCAATACAGCCCTCTCATCTTACAGCTAAAGAAACCGAGGCATAATGAGATAAAGTGACTTGCCCAAGGGTTACACAGTGCATCCTCAGCAGAGCTAGGACAAGAATCCAGATCACTAGATATCTAATCCAGAAAGGCCTCCCCAAGTTGTCACATCTACTCCCCTATCTCAATGGTCTCTACTGAGCTCAGGCTGTTTGCTATAACTGTGAGGGAACATCCCAGTTAAAGTGGAAAAAGCTGGTTTGGAAGAAGAGGGTGTAGACCAGCCCTACGTCCATACACATCTTCAATATGCTCCTATCTCCTTTTTCCCCTGCCCTCCTCTTCCCTCATACCTTCTTATTTACCTCTGCTTCCTAGAATTCTCACTAGCAGTGCCCCAACATTTCTCCTCCAAGATCAAAACAGACCTATATGTTTTTTCAAACCTTCAGGACCTTGCCACCTAAACTAATAAATTAATATTCAAGTTCAAGTGTTAAGTGACCCATAAAGGCATCTCTCCTGAGATATTTGGGGGCAGCTAGGTGACACAGAACACCAGGACTGGAGTTTGGAAGACTCATCTTTGTGAGTTCAAATCTGGCCTCGATACTTATTAGCTGTGTGACCCTGAGCAAGTCATTTTTTTTGCCTCAATTTCCTCATCTGTAAAATGAGCTAGAGAAGGAAATGGGAAACCACTTCAGTATCTTTGCCAAGAAAACCTCAAATGGGGTCAGGAAGAGTCCGACATGACTGAAACAACAATGGGAGATAATTTACATTTTAACAGGGGCTCCTGGAAAAGATTAAGAATAACTAGCATTATACTATTTTCACTTTTTTTGTTTTTTGCTTTTTCTTTCTTGTGGTTTTTTTTCCTTTTTGTTCTGATTCTTCTTTCACAACATGATTAATGTGGAAATATGTTTAATATGATTGTACATGTATAACCTATATCAGATTGCTTACAGTCTTGGGGAGGGGGAGGGAAGGAAGGGAGGGAGAAAAAAATTTGGAACTCAAAATCTTATAAAAGTGAATGTTGAAAACTACATTTACACGTAACTGGAAAAAAGAATTGGGAAATAATTGGGAAATGGTGGGGGGTGGGTGGAGGGAAGGGGAGAATAGTTAACATTTATGTGGGGTATCCTAAAAATCTTAGTGCAGATCTAAGCTACTGAAGCTTTCAAGCACACTAAAAATTTTGGTAAGCACCACATAGCTCTTCAAGGTTTGCAAAGTCCTTTATATAGATCAGCAGAGTAATAGCTAACAGTGAAATTTCATGAATCATGACAGGCCAGTGGGGAAGATATTCATGGCGGAAAGGGGTCCTTCCAGGAGTCCCTCAAATCACACCATGTATGTGGCTAGCTATACTTTACCCACTTCGGCACTCATTCTGCCGATTTGACTCCCCACTAAAGTCATCTGTGCAAAGGCAGGATAGGAGGTTTATAGAGCACTCCACTTTGTGCCTCTGGCTAGCTACATGTCATTCTGAGCACACCTCAGTCAGTCAGTCAATTAACATTTATTAAGTGCCTACTAAGTGCCAGGGGCCATGCTAAGCACAGAGAATTAAAAAAAAAAAAAGGCAAAAGAAGTCCCTTCTCTCAAGTTGCTCACAGTAGCCTATGCTAACTTAGTAAGTTGAAAAGGAAATAAATTCCAGATTTTGCTGACCCCGGTATAATAATGTGGAGAAAGGGGATACTGGGAAGTAGTCTAACATTACAACACAATGAAAACATACCTTGTCAAAGGAAATGAGGTTAGTATGAGGGTTTTCTTTTTATTGGTCAGGTTTTTGTTTTGTTATTTTTTGATGAATAGTCCACAGTGACTCATCTCTTTTTTTTTCTTTTAATTTTTAGGCAATTGGGGTTAAGTGACTTGCCCAGGGTCACATAGCTAGTAAGCGTCAAGTGTTTGCTCTGAGGTGGAATTTGAACTCAGGTCCCCCTGACTTCAGGGCTGGTGCTCTATCTACTGTGCCCTATGATGACTCATCTTTACCTGGATGTGCTGCTATTAATTCCAATTCAGCAGATCCAAAATTAAAATCTTTTTGTGTGTGCAGAACTTGGTGCCATGAAAATCTGAATTCAAATTCTACCTTGGACTCTTACTAGTTGTGTGACCTGGGTGTCACTTAACCTTCTACCTCAGTTTCCTCATTTATAAAATGAGAATAATAATTCCCACGTCCCAGGGTTATTGTAGGGACCCAATGAAGTAACATTTGTAAAGTACTTTGTTGATCTTAAAGTGCTATATAAATGTAAGTCATAATAATAATAATAATTATTATTATTATTAACTTTCTCCCTTTACTTCCTAACTTTATTTACCATTTCAGCTCTCATCCTCAATCCATCTGACTTTTCACTCTTTTATCACTCATCATGTCCCATCAAGCAACAGTCCAGTCTTGTCGACAACCTCGTCAGCGTCGATTACCTCAGCCCCTTCCTTTCACCCTCACCACTGCCATCACAGTTCAGGTCTTCCCATCTTTTCTCCACTGGACCATAGTCACTGCCTCCTCCCTGGTCTCTCTGTCACCAGGCTATTCCCCTCTCTGATACATCCTTTTTAGACTGATAAGTAAGTAATCTTCCTAATGCACAGACCATTAGATCATAAATTAAGAGCTGGCTGGGACCTTAGAAGTCAATGAGTCCAGCTTTCCTATCTGCAAGCTGAGGCAATTAAAGCCCAGAAAGGTTAATTACTTTGTCCAAGTTCACACAGGTAACAAAGTAGCAGAGTCAGCCAAATTCAGCAGGGTTCCCACTACCCCATGATTTGGCTCAGAGGGAATTAAATGGCTTGTTACCCTTTTTGAAATATCTAGCGTCAGAGCCAGGAGTAAGTTTCCTGAATCCAAGTCCAACACTGTTTCCAGTGGAAAATCGATCTTCTGAACTGTCTCCACGCCTTTGCCCTGGCCAGCCCCCCTTCCTGCAGTGCAGTGCCTCCTCATCTCTACCTCAAAGAGTCCTTTACTTCCTTCAGAATATACTTCTATGTGAAGCCTTGCCTGATTCCCTCCCCGCCTCAGGAAACTCCCTAATTATTTTGTAGTCATTTCAGTCACGTCCAACTCTTCCTGACTCCATTTGGCATAGATACCAGAGTTGCAAACCATTTCCTTCTCCAGCTCATTTTACAGATGAGGAAACTGAGGCAAACAGGGTGAAAAGACTTGCCCATAGTCACAGCTAGTAAGCGTCTGAGGCTGGATTTGAACTCAGGAAGATGAATCTTTACACTGATTCTGCATATGCTTGTACATGTACATGTTATGTTCCCTGATGACATAGTAGACCCTGGACAGCAGAGACTTACATTTTTTTTCTTTGGATTCCTAGCAACTGACACATAGTAGGTGCTTAATAAATGCCTGTTAATTGACTGACCAATTGATCAATTAATCTTGGGCAAAGCCAGCTGTTACATTCTGTGGGTTTACAGAGAGGTTCTGTGTACAGATCATTAAAGGGAGGGGACAGGTGGGACTTGTGGGTGCGGCTGGCTCACCCCTGGACATATTCCTTGTTTGTGGGCCCAGAGGCTTTGCTGTTTGCTCTTCCGTTAGCACAGCCAGAGGAGTGGTAGTGGGTGTGTCCTTGTGGTGGGGGCAGTGTTTGTTCATGCCTATGTTTCTCTCCTTCAGGGGGATGGCCAATCTGTACTCAAGGTACAGTGCTGTGGCCCAGGGCCAGTGAAAGCTGTGCCCCGGAAGAACATTCTCTGAATCACCCCTATAGGGACTGCAGGAGTGGGACCCTGGCCATCAGAGATGGAGGGACCCTGCAGTAATATTTCAAAACAGAAGAATGAATGGAGTCAAATAATATTGTGAGAGAATAGTATTTCAGAGCAACCTCATAAAAGAGGGAGGGGAGGGCAGATGAGAGAGCCTCACCGGCTACCACTGAGGTGTCAGCCTTCTGTCTGGTGTTTGTGAGCTCACCGCCTGGACGAGAGAAGGCAGGGCTCTTCCTTGCTCTCTGGGGTGATGCTGGTGCAGAAACCTTGCTCTGGGATGAGAGTGCTGTCACTACGCCAGGCTGGGAAGATGCAGGCTCCAGCTTTGTCCTGGGGGCCCCTCTCGGCCCTTCAGCTTTGGGATCTGGTGTCAGAACACGGGAAGGGGTAGGAGATGACCTGGCGGAAACAATAAGGCAGGGAGGGAGTCACAGGAAAGGTCTCCAGGCCCCGTCAGGTCCTTCTCCCAGGGAGGGACGAATCATTCTCTCAAAGTCTTTTATTGTCAGCCAGTCCTCCAGGACCCACACTCATGGAAGGAAGCCATAGATGATGAAACTACAAATCAAAGGCTTGAACTGGTTCTCTGCTGCTCTGGGGAGGAGCTTTGATGTGATTCAGGTGATTACTTTGCCAATTATAATTGGGGTAAGTTGATGTATTCATTTGGGTCTGGACCCCTCAGCACACACCAAGTGGTGGTTTCAGGTAGAGGCCCAGAAACAGGCCGGGGGGCAAGCAGGGAGAAGCCAACTTGGGGTTAAAAGCATACCATGATAATCCACATATGGAAAATCCACATGCAAATAACCAAGAGCTGGCTGCAACTGAGGGGATGTTTATTGAGCGTTCACATGGATGAATGAATGAACTTTTAAAGCTCTGTTTGAGTTACTATTTGTACTTAATAAAAATTGTATTTCTAAAAAAAAAAAGAAAGAAAACCTCTACACACACAGATATACCACCTGACAAGGCTGGCCAAGCCTGTCAGCAAGTAAGATTACCTAGGGACACCATCCTTTGGGGGTCTAAACAGTCCAAGCTTAAGGGGTGGGGAGGATAAGATAGGAACCAAACATATCTTAGCCTTCTCAGGTTAGATACTTTTTGTTTCTTAATTTGCCCTCTTTCAAAATGCCAATCTTCCCTTCTTCTCACCTGAAGGACAAAAGCATTAGGGCCTCACCTTAGACCCATTAAGGAACACCACACTGTGCACAAAAGTATTTATAGCAGCTCTTTTTGGGGGATGGCAAAGAACAGGAAAATAGGGGGTGCCCAGAAGTGAGAGAAAGGCTGGACAAAGTATGGCCTGTGAATAGAAAGGGATACTATTGTGCCTTCCGGAATGATGAAAGGGATAAGAAGGCTTGTATGAACGGATACCAAGGGAGGACTGAAACAATTTACACAATACCAACACAATCGTAAAAATGAACAACTTCAAAAGACTTAAGAACTCTGAACAAGAGATGACCAACCACGATTCCAAAGGACCAATGATGAAAAATTCCACCCACCTCCTGACAAAGATGAGTTGGACCCAATATGGGAAATGAGATTTACATTTTTTGGACGTGGCCAATGTGAGAATTTGTTTTGCTTGATTATACATATTTGTTACAAGAGTTTTACCTTTTTTTTTTCTCAATACAAGGGGGGGGTAGGAGGTAAAGAAAATACATGCTTGTGAGTTGAAAAAAAAATTTTTAACTAATTTTAAAAAACCACCCATTGATCCCAAAGGATGATCCTACTTAGCAAGACTGAAATTACAAACTGTGTGCCTTTCCAAATCCCAGGGATATTGACCCAGATCTTCCACGTCCTCTGGATAACACCAGAGGGTGTTAGGACCATCTTTTGTCTCCCATGCAGGCTCTTACCTGTATGTACAAATCCAGTCCGTTCCACTCTAAAAATCACCTTGCATGCCATTTTGCATGCTGTTTCTTGTCATGCATGCTGTAAGTTTTCATCTCCTGGCTTATATAAACGTATAATGTTCTCTCCATTTATAGCAGGAAAGAGAATGCGTCCTCAACTTTTTTGTGTGTTTATGGACCCCTTTGCTTCATGATAAAATCTATGGACCCTCTTCTCTGAATGGTATTTTTAAATGCATAAAATAAAATACACAAGCTTATTTAAAAAATCACATTGAAATAATTAAGAAAATATTAATTTTTTAACAAGTGCTTGGACCCTAGATAAAGAATCCATGATCCAGAGCATACGTGAGGAAAATTCCTCTTACCTGCTGGGGCCCTGGGCAGTAGTGCTCAACTGACCATTTGAGGCAAAACCTGGTCCTTTCATGAGGTTCTTCACAAGGAAGTCTCGAGCCTTGTCCTTTGTGCTATCCTGTGTAGACTGACCAGGAGCAGTTGTGACCCCCGAGGATGTTTTCCCAGCTGCCTGGGAGGAAGTAAAAGTCAGACCATACACCTTGGAAGCGGGCGGTTTGTCAGCTGAGGCCCCAGAAGACTGGAAGAACTTTTCCCGAGCTTGCTGTGTCTTGGACGCCAACGAAGTCCAGCTATTGGAGCTTGAGTCTGCTTTGTGCTGAGAAGCAGCTGTATAGGAGTTTAACTGGTTTTGAGGAGCTGCACGAAAGTCTGATTTGATCCGAGAAGTGATGTTCTGGGTTGCTGCTGGAGGGTCTGATTTGCTCAGAGGAGATGTGCGTGGGCTTTGAGGAGTCACACTAAAACTTAATTTACCCTGAGGAGAAGTCGTGTGAGAATCTAATTTGCTCAGGGCAGGGGTCGTAGGTGGATCTGATTTTCTTTGAGCAGATGACCACCCCACGGGGGAGTTATTGGTAACACCACTGGGCTTGCCTCTGTCTGGAGAAGAGTTCTGGGTAAACCGGTTGAGGAAGGAGTTTGACGGGGTATTTGTACTGGACGTTGACTTCTGGAGGGCCGGGTTGATGGGGCTGAGGGAATTTGTGGCACTATTGCCCACAGAGGATGGGCTCCATCCAGACGACTGGACAAAGCCCTTGGGAGTGGAATTGCTAACAGGCTGTCTGCCTGGCTGGTTGGTTTTCTGCCCAGTCTCCTTTGGTTTATCTAGTTCTTGGGCCCTCCAGGATACACCAGGGGATGTGGTATCCATTGGAACGGGGTTGGTCCGGCTCGGATACCCAGCTGCTGGCTGCTTTCGATCTGTGCTAGGGGACTTAGAGTTCGGGGTGGAAGGTCTGGTGTGGTGGTCTGTGCAGACAAAGACACCAGGTTCTCCCGTGGACTTGTAGGCACCTGAGTGGAGTGTGTTGGAACACTGTTTGCATCTGTGGATGTAAGAGAGATCATTAGGGGGGAAAAAAGTCCCCCAAGAAGCTACGCTTGTAAGCTCCCATCTTGGAGCATCCATTCCAACCAATTCCATCAACTCCAACCAATCCACCAACATGTGTTCCATGACTACCTGCTACTGTGCTGTGTTTGTTGGGGGGAATAGGAATATAAATACTCTGACTCCCTGTGGCTGTAGCCATCTGACCTGCTTAGTGCAGTACCATCCAGAAGCTTTTAAAAATTAGAATGACCAACATCACAACTAGTGCAGATGTAAGATATGAGAAGACTACCTCTGGAAATGGAAGACACACCTTGCTCTCACTCTACTCTCCCATTCCCCCCCACCAACCCAGATGACATGCCATTCCTCTACTCAAGAATTTTGTGGCTCCCTATCACCACAGTCATATTCAAACTCCTTTGTCTGGCACTCGAAGCTTTTCATAATCTGTCACTACCGTACTTTTCCAGACTCATCTCATGTCACTCTATTTGCTCTAGCCCCTGAGTTTTCATCCCTCCACCTGTGCCTTTGCTTATATCTTTCCCTCTGTCTAGAAGAGCCTTCTCTCCCCTCTTGGTCTGATGAAGCCAAACCATCTTTGGAAACCCAACTCAATGCTACCTTCTCCATGAAGCCTTCCTAGATAGCCATAACCTTTTCCCTCTGATAGCACTTTTCAAAACTCTAATGTCCTGACCATATATGATCAGTTATCTTGTTCTCCTACTCAATGGCATAAGGACAGATACACTGTCTTTTCTAGACTTTTTATCTCTCTCCATGTCTAAAAAAGTGTTCTGTACAAAGTCAGAGCCCGATGAATGCTGGTTGAATTGGAGACAGCAGGTTCACTTGTGCACATCCTAAATCTCTCTGGGATCTTTGCTATCCCAAAGGCTCCCTCATGTCCTGGCCTCACCATCCCAGACATTCCACCCCCACAGCCTCTCTATATAAAGTGCTCATGGTACCAAGTGACCATGCCCAGGAAGGCTTTGTGGGGATGGAAGACTCAGAGGAGTCCATCCTGGGCTAAATGGAGAGGAGCAGCATGTTTTTGATACTCACTACCCAGGTGACCTCGAGAAAGTCACTAACCTTTACTGGGCCTCAGTTTCCTCAACTGTAAAAGGAAGAGATTATACTAGATGGACTCCGAGATTCTTTCCAGCCCTATGGTTATGAGTCTATGTATCTTCCATACCAGTAGGTCATAGTCTCCTGCTTCTAATCCTAGGGATCACTGATCCTGAAAGCTGCAATCCAAACCTGGGGAATAAGCTATGAGAAAACTTCAATTAACCAAAACCTGACAGGCCAGAACCCTCAATAACCTAGGTTCCTGCCTTCCAATGATACTCTACTTTTAAAAGAGTCCTATGGCAAGAAAACACACCTATAAAAGGATTTAGTTTTATTTGGGGGGGGGGTTTCAAAAGGCAATCAAGATCAAGTGACTTGCCCATGGTCACACAGCTAATAAGTGTCTGAGGCCAGATTTAAACACAGGTCCTCCTGACTCCAGGGCCAGTGTGCTACCTAGATGCCCCAATTTTTTTGTCTGGCTTTTTGTGTGTGGGGGGGGTCCTTTTTTTGCTTTTTTTGCTTTTTGGTGAGGTAATTGGAGTTAAGTGATTTGCCCAGGGTCACACAGCTAGTAAGTGTCAAGTGTCTGAGGCCATATTTGAACTCAGGTCCTCCTGACTCCAAGGTTGGAGCTCTATCCACTGTACCACCAAGCTGCCCCATGCCACCTAGCTGCCCCTGGGTTGTTTTTTTTTCCTTAACTCAACATCATATAATGTCACAGCTATAAGTAGACCTTAGAAATCATTTAATGCAATAGTTTCCACCTTATGGACTGAAGAGTTTTTGCAAATCCAAAAATAAGCAAACTTACTTCCTGTGGCTTGAATAATCTCTCTCTCTCTCTCTCTCTCTCTCTCTCTCTCTTCTCTCTCTCTCTCTCTCTCTCTCACACACACACACACACACACACACACACACACACATACCCTTTATTTTTTTAAGCAATAAGTAAAGGATGTGATTAGTAAGATGCAAACTCCTTTGAAAGTATAACTGAATCATAGTAGCTTGGCTTAGTAGTAGTAGTAGCACATAATCTTGGTCAACAGACATTAATTTCTTTCAGATAGGAATTCTATTAAATTTTTTTAGGTTAAATTTTTTTTAAATGTTTATGTTGGGGCAGCTAGGTGGTGTAGTGGATAAAGCACTGCCCCTGGAGTCATTAAGACCTGAGTTCAAATCCAGCCTCAGACACTTGACACTTACTAGCTCTGTGTGGCCCTGGCCAAGTCACTTAACTGCACTGCCTAACCAAAAAAAAAAATGTTTATGTCAAGTCTCCATATTTAAAAAGTTTGTGAACCATTGACCTCATCTGATGAGGTCATCTGATGACCCCCTACAGATAGAGAAACTAAAGCCCAGAGAGAAGTGATTTTCTCCAAGACCACAAGGCTAGTTAGTGGCAAAGCCAGGTCTAATTCCAGGGTTCTTTTACCTATACTACACTATTTCCATGGGATGTTCTAGGTTCAATCTTAGTTATTGTTCAGTTGAGAATAACTCTTCATGACTCCATTTGGGGTTTTCTTGACAAATATACTGGAGTGGTTTATCATTTCCTTCTCCAGCTCATTTTACAGATGAGGAAACTGAGGCAAACAGGGTTAAGTGACTTGCCCAGAGTCACACAGCTAGTGTCCGAGGACAGATTTTAACTCGGGAAGATGTGTCTTCCTGATTCCAGGCCCAGCGCTCTATCCACTGTGCCACCTAGGTTCAGTCTACCTTCAGCCCATTCTCTCTTCTCCAATCCCCATTAAGTTTCACCAACAATCAGAGTAAGGACCCTGAGGCTTTGCCATATTCTTAAACATCCATTTACACTCAATAAACTGTCTCACTATGGCAGGAGCAGGTACTTAGACATTTTAGAAATCTTTTAAACAGGCTTTGGCCTTAGCCTTCAAAAACCCGATTGATGAGAATGCCCATTCCCAGTACATTCCTGATTAATTCAAGGTCTGACTTGTACTTGGGTTAAGCCAATGAGACAAGTAACCAAGAGCTGACTTTCTAAGCTCCTCTACTGGTTCTGTGATTAGGTAGAAAAGTACTTAGACTTGGATATAGCAGTGAACTTGGAGTCAGGAAGACCTGAGTTCAAATCCTGCCTCAGACAATTACTGGCTTTGTTACCCTGGGCAAGTAATATAAACTTCCTCAGCTTCCCTTTCCACATCTGTACAATGGGGATAATAATAAGACCTACCTCCAAGGTTCATTTTAAGATCAAGTTAAATGAGCTAATCTAAGCAAATCACTTTGCAAACCTTAAAGCTCTCTATAAATGTTAACCATCATTATCACCATTTGTGTGACCTTTGGTTTTCTCAGTCTACAAAGTGAAAATCAGGCAGCTAAGTGGTACAGTGGATAAAGCACTGGGCCTGGAATCAGGATCTTTGTGAGATCAAATCTGGCCTCTGATACTTACTGGCTATGTGACCCTAGGCAAGTAACTTAACCCTGTTTGCCTCAGTTTCCTCCTCTGCAAAATGTGCTGGAGAGGAAATGGCAAACCATTCCAGTATCCTTGCCAAGAAAACCCCAAATGGGGTCACAGAGAGTCGGACACAACTGAATGACAAAGCAGAGATGATAATAATTGTACCACTTACCTCCCAGGGTTATGATTAAAGGGAAGCCTTTTGAAAAATTGAACTCACCAAAGAAACACATGTTAATATTATTTGAACTAGATGACCAACCCAGGCCCCTCTAGTTTTCAAAGAATGAAACTATGAAACTCTACCTGCTTCCCAGCAGATACTGACAGGAGAGGTAAAACAGACCTACCTGAAACAATTCCTATGGTAGAGCTTCCCATCAACCAGGTGCCTCTGCACCAGGTGCACATGTTTCTTGCAGATAGCACAGATACTGCTCCTGGAGCCCTGGGGGCTTTCGATGCCCAGGGAGACCCGGCCCTAAGGGAAATGGAGACAGAACCCATCAGGTCAGCCTCAGGAGCCAAGAGCCTGGCAGAGAGCAGAACCCAGACTGTGGTCAGCCACAGGTAGGATGATCTCTGGGAGGAAAGGTTGTTATTACTGGGAGGGGCAGAAAGCACATAGCAAGAGATGGGAAACCAGATATGTATCCAGCACTTTTCTGGGCCTGAATTCCTGGCTCAGGCCATTTATTCATTCACTGGCCGGGGCCAGGCAATCTCATCTTCCCCACCATGCTATCAGCCTTAAGCAACTAGTTTTGGTAATTTGCCCCTGTAAATTATGTTAACACTCACTGAACTTTGGACTTTGCTCTCCATATCTAAGCGGCCTTGAAAGTTCTAATAATGGGTCTGGCTCAATTGTACTTTACTAGGTTATCTCTCCACCCATCAAAGCCTTCCTTTTCACTTATTGGCTGAAGGATAATGAGAATTTGGCCTTTGTCTGGATTTATCAGCTATAAAAAATGCCACACCCAGACTGATCCTGAGGGAGGACCCACTTACTTCTCCTATACTCATTCCTCACTACAGGTCAAACTGAAACCTCCAGGCATATCTCTCAACCCAGGGGTGGGGAAGGCCCAAATTATTCATTTCCACCAATAGTCACCAACTAAAGCAAGGGTTCTTAACCTGAGGTCAGTGAACTTAGATTTGAGGCTCTTTAAAAAAATATTTTCATAACCATATTTCAATGTAATTAGTGGGTTTGTATCCTACTTATTTAACTTTATACATTTAAAAACATTACTCTGAGGAAGGGTCCAGAGACTTCCCCCAGACTGCCAAAAAGTATCCGTGACATAAAAGTTTAGGAAGCCCTGACCTAGAAAAAATAACCCCAGAAAGATCCATAGGCATAATTTGTAAAAAGGGGATAATAATATCACCTACCCCCGCCAAGATAGTTGTTAGCACCAAGTGACATCACAATTGTAAAGCACTTAGCACATAGTAAGCATTATAGAAATGTTAGCTATTATTATTATGTTATGATTATTGCTGCTTTTGAATAAGGAAATTAGAGAAGATAATCTGCCTTTGTAACTCCTTCCCAAATATAACGAGAAGTAAAACTTTCTGGATCAATCAGAAGACTCCATACTAAGATGCCATATTTTTTAGAGTCTTAAATTCTATCAGAGATATTATGGAAAGAACAGAACTGGAAATAAAACCATGAGTTGGATATTTAACTCATTTGGCTCTGATACTGGGGGGTCTATCTATGACCCTTGTAGTCTCTCACCCACAGAAAAAAAAAATGGTTTATAATGTCTAACCCTCCCTGTAATGAATGGAAAAACAATCCACATTGTACTTTGAGCTCCTTAAAGAAAGGCTTCTGTGAGAAGGCAGGGTGTTATAACTGTAATACAGTGCCAAATTTGTGTAGGGTGACATAGGTCATAAGAGGGAAAGATCTGGGATGCTTACTGGTTTTGCTGGTGGGAATTCCGTCCCTGTGCTCTTCCCTTGGACAATGGGGTTTGTCCGGACTGGAGACAGTGGCTGCGCAGGGGCTGGGGAAGCAGGCTTGACAGGCTGCGAAATGACTTTCTTCCCTACAGGTCCCTCACTCAAGTCTGAAGAAGGCCTCTTCACTCCAGCCATGCCCCCAACTAGGATAGAAAACACAAAGAACAGATAAGGGCCAGTAGAATCAGCTCCCACCGGCACCCCAAGCCACTACCACCACCAAGAAGCAACAAGGCTATACCTGTGCTTTCCCCTTAAAGCCGAGGTGCCAACCTCCCCATCTGCCTGAATTAGATTAAAATGTAATTGGGAAATGTTTAACAAAAGTAAATGACTATGTAATACAGCACTGATAATGTTTGTTTGTGGTTTCCTAAGTTAACATGTGGCCCGCCGGGATCAGTTTCTATTTGAACCTCACACCAGGGCCTTAGGCTAGACAGGGGCTTCCGCAAAGAAGGAGTCCACTGCTCCCCAAATTTTTTCCATCTCTGAACTTGCCAGAGCAGACTGAAACAAACTTGAGGGGCATTCTTCTGACTCCCTTCACCCCCAGCCATCCTCTGATCCAGCCATCCACACACACCATCACATTAGATCCACACATAGAGAAGTCACAGGTAAGATTCTGATGTGATGGAAAGAACACTGCATTTGGAGTCAGGGGTCCCAGGTTCAAATCCTGGCTCTGACCCTTATTAGTTACATCAGCACAGGCAAATCACTTCCTCTCTCGGCCTCATTTCTCTGTAAAGAGAATGGGCTGGGCTTCATGACATGTAAGACCCCTTCCAAATCCAACATCTATTATTATTATTTTGTTGTTCAGTCATTTCAGTTGTGTCTGACTCTTTGTGACCCCATCTGGGGTTTTCTTGGCAAAGATACTGGAGTGGTTGGCCTTTTCCTTCTCCAGCCCATTTTACAGATGAAGAAACTGAGGCAAACAAGATTAAGTGACTTGTCCAGAGTCACATAGCTAGTAAGTGTCTGAGACCAGATTTGAACTCACAAAGATCCTGACTCCAGGCACAGCACTCTATCCACTGTACCACCTAGCTGCCATCATCATTATTATTAATAGTAATAATAGCGCTTTAGCACATTAAGATTTGCAAAATTTTTCTACATGTTATCTCGTTTGATCCTCACAACAACCCTGTAAGGTTTTACAGTTGAAAAAACTGAGACTGAGAAAGATCAAGTGATTTTCCCAGGGTCACACAGCTAGTATCTGAGGCAGGATTGGAGCTCACGTCTTCCTGACTCCAAGTCCAGCATTCTATCCACTAGCCCCCCACGACAGACCAACATGCTGTATCAGGGGTTTTACTAATGCTCACACAAAACACACCGCACTCCCGCTAGACGGGTGATCAAACTGTGATTCTCAAATCACACCTCTCCCTACTCAACTTAATTCACAGGAATAAGAATTTACTGAGCACTTACCACTTGCCCAGCCCTTGTGCAGGTACTTGGAAATGAAATACTAGGTACTAGGGAAGTGCCAATGTCAGGTATAGACAATAAACTCAGAGGCAGAATAACCAAGCTGGGGTGAAAGGACCTGTGCTCCAGACCCACCTCTGACACTGATTACTCTTACTAGTGTAGACAAGTCTCTTAGCCTCTCTGAGAGCCGAGTTTCCTCATCTGTAGGAGTATTACTACACCCATACCACAGGATTGTTGAAGGGAAAACATTTGTAAAGTTACAAACTGGTATAGAAATGTGAGATATTTGGTGCTAGTCTAGTTCAAAGAAGGGAGAGTTTGCTGTGGGCTAGAATGATCACAGAAGGCTTCTTGGAAGAGATGGGACATTAACTGGACCTAGAAGGACAGGTTCAATTTGAATAAGAAAAGGGAAAAGATTAAAGAGAAAAATAAGCTCAAGTACAGGAGCAGCTAGGTGGCACAGTAGATAGAGCACAGGGCCCAGAGTCAGGAAGACCTGAATTCAAATACAGCCTCAGACACTTACTAGCTGGGTGACCCTGAGCAAGTCACTTCCCCCTGTTTGCCTCAGTTTCCTCATTTTAAAATGAGCTGGAGAAGGAAATGGCAAACCACAATAGTACTTTTGCCAAGAAAACTCCAGATGGGGTCACAGAGAGTTGGACATGACTGAAATGCCTGAACAAGAAGAAATGTGCTAGGCACTATACTAAGTACTTTACAAACATCTAGCTTACAGATTATCTCATATAATTGCTGGACTAATTAGCCTGTTCCTAGATATTAGCTGAAATACATACATACTAGCAGGTTTCTCTTCTCCCTCTACAGTGGTCATAAATACCCTGAAGCAGTCTGGGACCCCTCCAGTACAAAACCGGCCAAGCAGATTATGGAAATCCAGAATGTTATCCCATCAAAGACCTACTGTATCCATTAAGGGCTAAGCAATGGCACATTAATCTGCCATGAAAGGGTGTGGATGAATAAATCCAGAGGAACACTCATAGAGAAGTGAAAAATGAGGAAGGAGAGAAAGGAGTGATGAGAAGAAGAGGGAGGAAGATGGGAAGGCAAAGGACAGAAGGGCAAGATAGACATTCAGGAGTTTAATCAACATTCAGAGCTATAAAGGAACATAGAGGTCATCTAACCTAACTCATTTTCTAGGATCACTGAGGCAAAGTAAGCCAAATAGTAAACACTAGACCCAGGTGATATAGGAATAAGCACAATAGCTACGATTCCATGAAAAGTCTTTGGACTCCAAAGCCAATGTCCTTTCCATCGGGCAAGATGCTTCTCACAAACATTTCCTAGGGGAATGGGGAATTCCCATTGCATTGATGGAGTGTAGCAACCAACAAGGGGATTGCATAAAGCCCCCTTAGCCTGGACCAAACAATCAGACTGTGATTCTGCTCTCCCTCCCCCAAGCCCCAAAGGCTCAGCTTCAAATCTTCTCAAGTCAGCTCTTGGTGGTCTAGCAAAGATCAGGCCCTAGGAAGGATCACAGAAGATCATAAAGGATCACAGATTCAGAGTCTGAAGGGACCTGAGGGCCACTGAGTTCCAATCCACTCCCTCCCATCATTTTACAGATAAGGAAACAGAAGACCAAAAAAAAAACAAAACCCAAAACTAAGTGAGTTGCCCGAAGTTGCACAGCTCGTAAGCTTCTAAGGTGGAAAATGAACCCAAGTCTTCGCTGACTCCCAACACCAGTGTCCTATCTAACGCACCACAGTCTACAATTATAGGACCAGAGGACGGGGGCCTTAGAGCTTGGATAACACAGAACTGTCTGCAGAGGGAGGGCCTTTGGTCTACATCTCCACAACAGTGAAAACACACAATGGGTCATAGAGGTCCCCAAGAGGGGATTTTTCTATTTCACTAGAATAAAGAAAAATAGATTTCCTCAGGGCTGGAAAAGTGGGGGTAAAGGGGGAGAAAAAGAGACTAAAAGAAAACGGAGGGAGGAGGGAACACAGAGGCTGGCACAATTCCCAGAGTCACTATGAGTTTTGAACGGGAATTTCTAAACCTCAGATTAGGAATGTGGCAAAGGGAGGCAGGGAGGAGGGAGATGTTAATAAAAGGCTGAGCCCAGCAGAGCTGGAGAGGAAATCATGGGTGAGTGGAGCACAATAGTGGATGAAGTAGAAGCTTTGGAAAAGGTCATGCTACTTGGGAAGAGGGGGGCCTGAGGACTCTGATCTGCCTTGTTCTGAGACCATGGCCCTACCTGCCAGGCACCCCTTACATGCCCTATTCAGAACACGCACCCTGTTCTAACACCCCCCTGTCCCTGAGTTAGACTAGATCTCCCTGTTAAAATGCAAAGGAGCCAGCAAAAAGGCTTTCACAGCTGGGTCTTGAAGGAATTGTATCTAAAGTACCTGAAGCAAACTTTTCATGTCCCCAATACAGCCACAAGCTCCATTAGCACTATAACACCAACAATAAATATATATATAGCTCTCTAAGTTCTGCCAACTGCTTTTACATATGTTTTCTGAGTTGATCTTCACAGCAGCCTTGTGAAACAGGCCCTATTATTACCCCCATTTTACAGATAGGAAACTAAGACTGAGACAGGTTAAGTGACCTATAAGAGACATGTTTGCATAGTTAATATTAATGTCTGAGGCAGAATCCGAACTCTGATCTTCCTGACTCCAACCAAGTCTAGCACTCTCCCCACTACACAGTGTAGTTGCTTGAGTACCTGTCGTATAGGATACACGCATTCCTTTCAGTAAGAGAGAGGGAAGTCAGGGTTTCAGGGTCAAATGAGATAATAGTAAAGCACTTGGCACGCTGCCTGGTGCGTAGAAAGCACTATATGAATGTTAGCTATTGTTATTGCTATCACAATTATTAGCTCATGAAACTGAGGCAGACAGGGGTTGATGACTTGTCCAGGGTCATGAAGCTGGTGGGTGTCTAGAGCTGGATTTGAGCTTAGGTCTTCCTGGCTGAAGTTCCAGAGTTCTATCCACTGCATCACCTAGCTACCATTGTGGTGGCTGTTGTCATTTTTTAAATTAACTGTTTACAAACCAGAGAGAGAGAGACAGGGAGAGAGAGACAGGGAGAGAGAGACAGAGAGAGAGAAAGAGAGAGAGAGAGAGAGAGAGAGAGAGAGAGAGAGAGAGAGAGAGAGAGAGAGAGAGAAAGAGGGAGAGAAAGAGGGAGGGAGGGAGGGAGGGAGGCAAAGAACTGGACAATTCATTCATTGTTTAAATGGGATGATAAACAAGGAGAAGGATGTTTTGTGCACTCTTGTTTCAAGTAGAGAAACTGGAGCTTCTATAACTGAAGAATGGATTGGACTTCATCTGCTTGGCCCCAGAGAGCAGAGCTATGACCAATGTTGGAAGTTACTCACTATCTGAAAAACCCAAAGAGCTGCCAATAGAAATACAATAGAAAGCCCCCCATCCCTGGAAGTCTATGGATAGAGTCTATCCGCTACATTGTGAGCTCCTTGAGGACAGGGTCTGTCTTTCCTTTTGCTTATATTTGTATCTCTGGTGCTTAACACAGTGCCTGGTACGCAGTAAATGCTTAATAAATGTTTGCTGCCTGCATGATCAGAGAGGCTGGTTTCAATCTGAACCCATACTCATACCCCTACACTAGAGCTATTGAGGGATGACAAACAGATATAGTTCTAACCCAGTTAGAATTAACTGCAGCTAGGTGGTACAGTGGACAAAGGGCCAGGCCTGGAGTCAGGAAGACACATCTTCCTGAGTTCAAATCTGGCCTCAGACACTTACTAGCTGTGTGACCCTAAGCAAGTCACTTAGCCCTGTTTACCTCAGTTTCCTCATGTGGAAAATGAGCTGGAGAAGGAAATGGAAAATCACTCCAGTATCTTTTCCAAGAAAACCCCAATTGGAGTCATGAATAATGAGATAGGATTGAGATTGGAGGAGACTGAAGGAAATATCATCCAGCCTCAGTCCTGGACCTGAATTTCCCTTTTATCAACTCGGCCATTTGGAGGTACCAGCATGACCTTATTCCTCCTTTCCACAGAGGTGAGGCAGATCCCATATCCCATCTATCCATGCCATTCACCAGGAATGTCTTTATATATCTAAAATAGACATTTTCCTACTAAGTCCTCTATAAGTCCCATCTTACATGGGATTTAGGAAAATTGTTGAGGCGAGAGAAGGTTGAATTAAAAAACTCTTCCTCCCTAGGGTTTCTCTCAAAACAAGAAAAAGAGCAGCCCTGCCCAATGGCTATGGGAAAGGCACTGAGGAAGAAGGTGAGAGTGGACTGACTACTCACTGGGCGACCGGCCGTGGAAATAATTGTAATACTGGGAGACATAAGTCAGAATGCTCAATCGATCTGGCACCTTGAGAGCCACCATATCTTCTGCATCCAACAGGGCTGGTATCCCTAGCTGCTCCTCAGCCACCTGGAATGCCTGTAACAGATGGGAAGAAGGACAAAGGCATAAGACACCTATTAGGTGAGACAGGTGACTACCCCTCAGGGTACTTCGGGCCCAATGGCTGAAGTTGGGCAAAAGAATATGCCATCCCTGCCTCATTCTCCTCTCTACCTACTCTTGCTTCCAAGACTTACAACCTCCCAGCACTAATGAGCTATAATTCTATACAAGCTTTCCTCAATTGCCTCAGCCTGCCATGATCTTTCTTCCACAAATCTACAGGACTTAGTGTCCATAACACATCACATCAAAGCTTTGTGATACATGATTTTGCATTGTCCATGGGGGAGGGGGTGCAGTTTTCTCATCTGGGAATTCCCTAGATCAATGACATCACAGTCAAGTCTACAACCATATCATCATAACACCTGACAGTGAAAGGGACCATCAGGAGTCTGCCCCTCAAATGCAGGCAGGTAAATTTCTAAACAATTCCAAACAGATGGGAAAGGGAAAGACGACAAGAAGAGCTATTAATATTATCTAGCACCAGTCTTGATCTTACGGACAACATGACCTGAGAGTTTTAGACATTTTTGGCTTAACGTTGGATAATTTGGTTATGAAAGAAAGTGCAGGGCTAGAAATTAAAGAAGAATTTCCCCAAAGGTCCCCTGATTTTTTTTTTTGGCTCTTTCAGTGATTTGACAAACACAGATCAATGTCCTAACAGCTCTTTTTTTGGCACTGGGCTAAAGACACATTCTTTCTCAACACGAATCCTTATATGGTCAGTAATTACCCAGAATAGCTTCTCTGAAAGAGGGAGATGCATGCTCCCAATAACCCCAAGAGAGCCTTCTCACTCACAAAGCAACCATGTCAAACAGCACCATACAACAAAAATGACCCAACGTCTCCCTCACTCCCTCCCTAATCCCACTCTACACTCCTCCCCACACCCCTTTCTGGAGCTACCCAGTGCACACAGAGAATGAATTATGTTCTCATAACTGGAGTGATGGGAGAAAGACACAGATTAGAAGGCACTGAGGTGTGTGAGAAGGAAAGAAAGGCAGGAGGAAGAATAGGACAGGCTGGAGAGACACAGATGCTGTCATCCACCAGACTGACTACTTAGTCAGCTTCAAAGGCAAGAGACGTCAAGCAAGTCAACTCAGTAGGGAGAACTAAGTGGGTCATCCCCGAGATCTCTCTCTCTTTCCTTGAAAGCAAGGACTAGTGCTTAGCACAGTGCCTAGCACAAAGTAAGTGCTTAATAGATGTTGTTACCTGCATGATCAAGCAGGTTTCATCCTGAACCCAGACTTATGCCCCTACACTAGACATTGAAGCTCTCTCTCCCCACCCACCTTCAGCATACCAGATACCCTCCAGTCTCTGGACTCCTTCCTGAAACTATCAGGCCACAGTGTTCCAAAGACAGCTGATCCGTCCAGTGGGAAACAAAGGAAATTTCCAGACTTGACCCAAAGAGCTGGTGTTGCCTAGAACTCTTGCTGGGGAGAGATTGGAAAAGCAACCAGAGACCCAGATAAGGCATAAGTCCGAGTACAGAGAAAGAGATTACATAAGGAGGTAAAGGGAATAAGGATGAAGAAATGGAGCCTGGGCATGATCTTCTTTCTTCCCATCCCAAAGATGATGACAAAACAGCGCCAGAGTTCTGAGGAGCTAAGCCAGTCCTGCAAAGATTATTTATTAAAGGTGGGGCCTTGTTTACCTTTCTCTCCTACCTCCACTGTCCTTGCCCACCTCCCCTTAATCCTCTGTCCTCATTCCCTGATCATCACCCAACTCCTGCCCTATGCCTCCCCCCCCACCTAATCTCCTCTCCCACATTCTCCCCTTTTTCTCCACTGCTCCCCACATTCTCCATAATGCCACTGGAAGTCTCAGGCTCTGATGTCCTAGACTCAAGTTCATTTGCTTTTCTTTTCCATATATATATAGTGAGAAAGAAAAAAGAAGAAGCTATGTAACCAAAAGCCAGAACACTACATCAGGGAATGGGGAAATACCCATGAAAGAGAAAAAGAGCCTGAGTAAAACTCTGTTTATAGCTCCCCATGAGCACTATTAATTACAAGCATTCACATAGGACAGGGAAGCAATATAACAGTGAAGAGAGCGGAGTTTGGGGTCAGAGATCCTGAGCAGAAATCCCAGTTCCTTATTTATCGCTACCATAATGTTGGGCAAGTCACTGGGTGTCTCTAGGCCTGTTTTCTCATCTGCAAAATGCTCTGTGAGTCTATAATTTGTATCCACATGTGGTTTGTTGATCATTTTCTGTAGGGTCATCCTGGGAAGCACCATTGACCAGAGTCTCTGGTAAGAGATTCATAAAACCTAGGGAGAAGAAGAAAGAAGAAAAAGAAGAAGAAGGAGGAGAAGAAGAAGAAGAAGAAGAAGAAGAAGAAGAAGAAGAAGAAGAAGAAGAAGAAGAAGAAGAAGAAGAAGAAGGAGAAGAAGAAGGAGAAGAAAGGTGAGAAGGAGTAAGAGGAGGAGAAGGAGAAGGAGAATAAGGAGTCAGCCAGCTGATAAAGGTGAGGGAAGGTATGGGGTGTTGGTAAGGAAAGAGAGTAAACAATGTCTTTGGTCACTGAAAGGAATAAAGGTTGAGGAGTGGGAGAGAGGTCCATGTCCCAGGCCTGCTCTGGCTCTGGGTCAGCTCAGGCCAGATCTGTCCTGGAGAGAGGAGCAGCTGAAGTCCATCAGACCTGACACTGGCTCTCTCTGGAGTCAGCCCACGCTCCCAGCAGATGGGTGGTCTGAGCTTCTGCGGCAGCCTAGGCCAGAGGAGAGGCTGCTCCCAAGGAAGCCCATTCCTTTCTCCCACCTGCTTCCCCTGATTCAACCCCAATACCACCTCACCGGAACCCTCCCCACCCTCAGGAACTCCGGGGGAACTGGAAAGTCTGGCTGGCACCTAAACAGAGGGAAACAGGCTGAGAGGAATGAGGGGCAGGAAAGATTAACAACCCAAGCAGTCTGTGACATGAGGCTGGGGTGAGAGTCTGTTTGTCTTCTGAGAGAGAGCTGTTAAAAAAAAAATTTTCAGACACTTATAGGCAGGAGCTCTGACTCTGACTTCATTTGTTAGTTCAGAAGCACCTTTCTCAGCCTCAGCTGGCTTATGTGCAATCATGGCAACAATTCCCCATGAGATAACAAAGCCCCTCAGAAGTCTCCTTAAAAAAAAAAGGGAGGTGGTTTAGAAAACCGGGTGTGACCAATATATAGGCAGATTCACAACTTCCTTAAAGACATAAAGGACTAGTGGGGGAACTGGAAACGGAAGGGAAACCTAAAGGGCGCCAGTTGTCTGAGTAAGAATATGAACCGAGATGGGAAGGTGTCTCAGGCTCCAAGATTCAATCTGACCTCAGCTACGCAGAACTAAGGAGTGAGAGATACCCTTCTCCCGCCATGAAAATGCTGCAAGGGGACAAAGCCGGGTCACAGAAAGCAAGAGTGAGGACAGAAGAATAGATAGAGATGGAGGAATATAGCACTTACCAGCTTGTTGTTTTCATAAATGTTTTCTTTTCTGAGGGTGCTGAAGTCTCTGAAAGAGAAAAATAACATGAGGTAAAGGCCCAACTAGCTTGGCTTGGCTTTCTCTAAGACTCTTCAGCCTCCCCTCTCCAGCCTGCACCCTACCCTGCTGCAAACATTGCCCACTTCCCCTCAGGTACAGAGTCCTGGGGACAGATCAGAAAGCAAGGCCACAGCAACCTTGTTTGCCCAAGTGAGGATTAGAGCATTGAAAAAAAAATAATCATGGCAATCTTTGACATGTACAAAGCACTTCATGTTTTTATAAAGTGTGTTTATATCCCCACTGATTCTCACCACAACCCTGAGAGAAACCAAATTTCAGAGAGACCCATTCAAGGTCACTCAACTAGGAAGAAATAAAACTGGGACTAGAACCCAGGTCTTCTAGCCCAGGTAGTACGTCTAACACATCAGGCCACCTCCCAAACACTCTGGGAACTGACTCTTCCCCATTGTCTCTCTTGAGCATGAACCCAGGTCATCTCAGAGTTATGAGGCCCAGTCAGCCCAGTGAGGTTCAGCCCATCCTTAGAGCCCTCAGCAACAAAACCTACATAGATATGAGTGTACCAAGCTAGACAAGTGGCCTGGCCCCTAAGGAGCTCATAAGTCTTACACATGCAACAGCAACTCATCTAAGAGGTCGTAACATTAGAGTGGTAAAGACCCTTAGAGATCTTCTAGGTCAAGGGCCCCGTAACTCTCAGTGAGCTGCGAGGACCAGATTAAAACGGGACTGGGATATGTTTCGCAAAATAAATAAGATACAAAATAAATAAATAAATAAAAATACAATCCAACACAAATAACATTAATTCTTGGTTTCTCAACTTAATATGCAGCAGGGATCCTTTTCAACTTGAGTTTGACACCATGATCCCTTCATTTTTCATTTCATTCCTGAGCTGGACTCAGGAAGACCTAAGTTTGAATGCCGCTTCTGACACTAGCTGTGTGATGCTATACAAGTCACTTAACCTATCTCAGCCTCAGTTTCCTCATCTGTAAAATGGGGATGATAATAATAGCACCTACTTCATAGGGATACTATGAAAATCAAATAAGACAACATGCGTAAACTACTTAGCAAACCTTAAAGCACTTTGTAAATGCTTTTGTTGTTAATTGAGTCATTTTCAGTTGTGTCTGATTCTTTATGACCCCATTTAGGGTTTTCCTGGCAGAGTCTGGAGTGGTTTGCCATTTCCTTCTCTAGCTCATTTTACAGATGAGGAAACTGAGGCAAACAGAGTGAAGTGACTTGCCTAGGGTCTCACAGCTAGTAAGCATCTGAGGCTGGATTTAAACTCAGGGAGATGACTCCAGGCTAGGCATTCCACCTACTGCCCCACCCAGATGCCCCTGTAAACGTTTGCTGCTATTATCATTACAAGATAGGAAACCAAAGCCTGGACAGGTTAAGTGTCTCACCCAAGGTCACAGGAAGTAAACTGGAGAGTCAAGATTCAAACCCACTATCTAAGATACCCAGAATAACTTTACAATATTAAGTCAAAAGGTAAAAGAGTAATTCAGGTTCACCTTAATTCCCCCACTGCACACAGCAGCTCTCTGAGTCAGCATGGAATGTGGATGGAATACTGGCTTTGAACTCGAGGAAACGGGTTTAAATCCTGCTTCAGACCTTTACTAGCTACCTATCCCTGGGCAACTCACTTAACCTCTCAGACTTAGCTTCAGTGTTTGACTTGCTAACACCTAAAGTCCCTTCCAACCCTAAACCTATATAATCTCTCACTTCCCTATGACCATCAGTCAAATTGACACTGGGCTGGCCACGGAGTCTTAAGTACAAAGAGATCAGAGGAGTGTTGCTTAGCAGCTGGAACCCGGGGATGGAAGCTAGGAATCCTGGGTTCTGTGCTCAGTTTTCCAGCTGGCCTGGGGTCAGGCAGATACTTAACCCCAGGCTGATCAACCAAAGACAGAAACCAGAGTTTCCAACGTCATTGAAAAAGATTGACCATGTTTTTTTCTTTTCAAAATGTGAATAACTCATTCTTTCATTATAACAAATAAAACTAGCAAATTTTTATTTTAGATGTGAATTTCCCTATGCAGCAATATCCTTGTAAAAGACATAACATTACTTTTCATTACAGTAACAATACAACATAGAAAAGCTTCCCTGCCTCCCCCCACCCACCCACCCAGGCTCAACTTGGAGGTTCTGAAGGCCCCAAGCTTGTCCACTCCAGAGTAAACTCCTCTGTGCCTCATTCTACATCTAACCCCTTCCTGAGGATATCAGGGACATGATGATATTGGCTGTCTTCCTAGGTGGGCTGGAGGGGCAGATGGCAAAGCACTGTGGGATCCTTGGGAACAGAAAACGTTAAACAGGCAATAAAGGGTATTTGTGACGCCAGCAGCTTACAGTGGGAGGGGGGAGATGAAGCTAAGATGAGGCCGAATTTGAACTCAGGTCTTTCTGACTCCAGGCCCAGGGCTCTCTCCATTGAGCCATAGGTAGGTTGATTGATTGATTCAGGGAAAGGCCAGGCCAAGCCAGCAAAGAATACAGTTTACATTTTAAATAAAATAAAACTTTATTTTAAAATATGGAAAAAGCCCATTCTTAGTTCTCAGGCTATATAAAAACGGGGATCTTGGCCCTTTCTTGCAACTATTTTTTAAATGTATTGCGCTGTTGTAATTACTAAAACACAAATTCATTTAAACATTACTGAGTTTCTCAGTGTTTTCACCATGCATTTTCACAATAAATAGCAATTATACAACTCCTATCACATAAAGTCCACAATTTTTTTTTTATTTTAAAAGGGGTGGGTGGGTCAATATCCTCAAAAAGTTTGGGAGTCACTGGACTAAACTAAATCAGTACATGGTAGTCCTGATTTGGGAGCAAGGTTAGCCCATCCAGGCCTTCATTCCAATCCTCTGCTCTGGGTTAGGACCATATCCTTGGCTAGGGTGTCAGAGTAAGTGAAAGCAACCGCCCCAGATATAAAACCCATAATACCCTGCATCTGGGTGCTCCACAAATACCCTCCAGAGGCGTTACTTAAACAATACAAAATCTTCAAAAAGCACAGAGGCCAAATGGGAACTTGGATCTTAAATAAACATCTGATCATCACCACACCCACCTGCAGAAACACAATGACCCACCAATGAGTGCAGGACTCCACCCGTATCCCCCCTCCAAGGTTCACAGTCCCACAAAGAGCCCCCCTGCCTCATCCAGGTGTTTCCTTTCCAAGGGTCTCCAGCTGTTTCTCTAACAATGAGAGATGTCAAGGTCACCACTGCCCACCAGAAAGGGGAAGAAAGCCAGAAATGACCTCAGAGGCCATCTTGCCCAATGTTCTCTTTTTACAGATGAGGAAACTGAGACCTAGAGAGGTTAAATGATTTGCCCAAGGTCATACAGGTAACAAGTATCAGAGGTGGGATTTGAACCCACATCCTCTGACTTCTAAGGCAGCTAGGGAGTGCAGTAGAGTCCTGGAGTCAGGAAGACCTGAGTTCAAATCTGGCATCAGATACTTACTAGCTGCGTGACCTTGGGCAAGTTATGTCACCCTGTTTGCCTCGGTTTCCTCATCTGTAAAATGAGCTGGAAAAGGAAATGCAAACCACCATTTCTGCCAAGAAAACCCCATGGGCTAAGTCCACAGGGTCACCTAGAGTTAGACATGACTGAACGAATGACCCACAACCTCTGACTTGAGAGCATTTGCTTTTGCATCTGTTTCAGGATGCCTCCAATCTCAGGTTCTTCTCTTTCCAGCAATGAATGGATTTTGTCTGATGAAGTTCCTCCAGGGTATCAGGTATCAATTGTAGCATAGGAGAAAGATTGGCTAGGTGGCACAGTGGATAGAGCACCAGCCCTGGAGTCAGGAGCACCTGAGTTCAAATCCAGCCTCAGATGCTTACTAGCTGTATGACCCTGAACAAGTCACTTAACCCTGTTAATCTCAATTTCCTCATCTGAAAATGAGCTGGTGAAGGAAATGGCAAACCACTCTGGTATCTTTGCCAAGAAAACACCAAATAGGGTCACAGGGAGTCATACATAACTGAGCAACAACAATAGAAAGAGGGTTTATTTGGCATCTCTGGACCTCAGTTTCCCCACTTGTAAAATAAAGGAGTCAGATTAGGTGATCTCTAAGGTCCCTTTCTGTTTTTAATCCAATGAATCCCATAATTCTCTGCTGCTCACTACCTACCTATGTGACCTCACACAAGACATTTTCCTTCCGTGGACCCAAGTACCCTCAGCTTTAAAGTGAAGGCTTTAGACTAGTCAATCTTTAACATTAGAAGACCCAAGAAATATCCATTGAAGCAGTGCATTTTTTTTATCCATAAGGCAAAGAAAATAGAGCTAGAAGTATAATTTTTATTTATACAAATTTTCTCTCACTCGATGTATCTGGCCTTTCTAATTAAGGTCCCTTGACTCTATAAATACTATAATGAGGTAGGTAGGTGGTATAGTAAATGGAGTTCTAGATCTGGAGTCAAGAACACTTGAGTGCAAGCATCTGGCTTCTGACGTTTACTAGCTGTGTGACCCTGGGCAAGTCACTTAACCTCTATCTGAGGCTTTTTGATCTCTAAGTTTTCTCATCTTTAAGAAGAGGCTAATAATAGTACCTACCTCTCAGGGTTGTTCTGAGGATAAAATGAGATAATGTTTTAAAAACTTTAAAGTGCTATATCAATGCTAGCTATTATTCTGAAGATGATGATAATTACACAGCATTAACGTAGCACTTATGGTTTGCCGAGTGTTTTATATATGTTATCTAATTCGAGAAAGAGGAGGGTGCTATTATTAGCTATTATTATCCTCATTTTACAGATGAGGAAAATCGAGGCCAAGAGAGGTTAAAGTGACTTGCCTACAGTCACATAATATCTGAGGTCACATTTGAACTCAGTTCTCCCCACTTCGGGTCCAGAACTCTATCCACTATACCACCTAACTGCCTGATAAAATCACTTAACCTC